AACGTTCTGGAATTTGATGCTGGTGAAGGTTGCACAGCTCAGTGAAGACACTAAAAACCACTGAGTGTTATTATACTTTAATGGGTGAATTGTATGATTAGTGAATTATAGCTCAATAAAGATGTTTGAAAAAAACCTATGTATGTATGTGCTTCATGTAATATATAAAATGAATCTATCATCTATATACTGTTGGATGAATTAATTTCTCCAGAGCTTCAGTCTGCTCCCTTGTAAACTGGGAATAAAAAACGGGGTGGGGGAGGGAATCGACCTTATGGAGTTCTTACAAGAGTAAAGGCGTAATACCTAACCCTGTAAGAAGCACTAAGAAGAATTAGCTCTTCTTATCATATACCCACATTACAGAGTGTATATAAGCAGCTTCTTCCTAAAAGGGATCTGTTCAGATTTCATTACAGTTAATAGTGGGGCTTAGGGTCTCCAACCAATGACATTAGCTCAGTGAGCAAGAGATTTCAGAGCTAAACTAGAATTCACATTGGAAGCTGATCATTTCAGGTTTTCCTTTATGTTTCTCCAGTCATGAACTGTACCAAATTAAAAATACCCGCCCCTTCAAACTCTAATAGTGCCCCTGAGGAAGAAAAGCAGGGAGATTTCTGCCCATCTCCATCCTAATTGCTAATTTAAGAATTTAAGCCCACTGACTAGGCTTGCTCAAAGCAAGCCTACTTTTTTTTACATCCTGCTGCCCTCCGGAGGCAATAAAAGGCCAAGCTTTGAGTGCAGGCTGCAGAGCCAGACAACAGGCCCACAGCCAGGCCCCTGACTAGCCTCAGGTGCAGTGCTCAACCTTTCTGTTCTTCAGCACCCAGCACGAAGTAAGTGCCTCATCTACTCTCACTGCCACCTGGGGGCGGGGAGCCCTCCATCAAGAGGCTACGAACCGGCCTTTCATTCTCTCCAGAGTCCACTCTCATTCCTGTGCATCTCTCAGGCTGCTCTGGTCCTCTGCGGCTGTGACCCAAACTGATGCCCCCACCCCAAGTCCAGCAGGAAATGGTATCCATAGGCATAGTTCCCTCAAGGGAGCCTGAGCCTCTAAGGGCCAAGGGGGAGCACGTGAGAGCAGGCTCTAGCTCTTCATCTTGGATGCTGGGCCCCTGGCTCCTGGCAGGCCTCCAGACAACAGGCACCAACCTGAATGTGTGCCCAGGGCCCCACTCAGCCTGCGGCAGATGGGGATGAGAACCCCAGGGTAGCTCCCCGTCAAGCTCTGAGGACTGCTGCCACCCTCTTCTTCTTGCCCTGATAGTGTCCCTTCACCTGCCAGCTTCCTCACTGGGGGCCGGCCCTCGAGTCGGGCCTCATCTGCCACCCTCCACCCTACTGGGTCCTGGGTTTCCCCCCATCCAAGGTGCACTGACTGACCTTTGCATACATCCGTTTAAGTGTTCACTCATTCTTCCAGCATCTGTAAGAAAGCCAGGGATGTTTAACAGACCTCTCTAGCTAAATGACAAACAACATAACCATGACACAAATCACTTCCACTGCACCGGCTTCAAGGCCCCACTGAATATTAAAGACAGTAGAGCTGATGCATCAAGAGGCACTTAATAAAATGCCCCTGCTGAGCCAACATGGAAAGTTTGAAACAACTGCAGAGTTGGCAAACTCCACACTCCAGCCCTCAGCAAGACCTTGGGATGGGGGGTGACTCACGCGCCCTCGGAAACGCGCCTATCCTCCTCATCTGGATAAACTTGATTCTGTGCTGCTGTTCCTAGAACAAAATACAATTCTTGCAGCTACCAGTGTGCCCTCTTTGCGTCTCACTCGTGGGATGGGAGGAATGAAGGAACAGACCGCAGAAGCTTACTGGCAAACAAACGGAGTGAAGCAGCTGGTTGTGTTGCTGGGCCGATAGGAATTTTTTGTTTCTAACACTGCAGCCAGTACGTGCTCCTTGCAGAAAAACTGGGCCATACATAAAAGAAACTGAATGCCCAGGACGATTACAATAATCACAGCAGCAATGAGGATAAATGGGATCACTCTCATTTACGATGTGCCTGCGTTTTCAGATCTGCTCTCTGGCTTATCTTCCACAATTCTGAACTGGAGGGACTCTTATGGAAAAAGCAGCAGAATGGAAGGGTTAAGAATACAGCATCAGGGCAGAGCCCGACCTTCTGGGTTCACACCCTGGTTCAGCCAGTGGCTAAGTGTGCAGCTGAGCCTCCCCACCTTACCTGGTTTCCTTATCTGTAAAATGGGAATCATGATAGCATTCACTCCGGCACACTGGTGTGAGAATTAAATCTGAAATTGCACAGAAAGCATTTCAGCACAATGCCTGACAAACCAGTAGGCTTTCAGGGCTACTCTCCCTATTTTTACAGATGATAAAACAACTCAGCAAGTGTAGATAACTTGCCCAGGCTCACAATGTTATCAGTATTTGTACTGGCCATTAACCCAACTGCCTGTAAGTCACAGACCTCCGTAGTTGTTTCATAATCAAGAGAATCTTGACAAATATGAAAGCAACAAAATATTTCCTACCACATGTTTTAATGATATCAATGAATAACTTCTTAACCCTGAAGCAGTTACATAATTTGCAGGGTGCAGTGAGAAATGAAAATGCAAGGCGGTGGGGCCACCTGGTGTGGCTCGGTTGGTTAAGGCTCCAACTCTCGATTTCAGCTCAGGTCAGATCTCAGGATTGTGAAGTCAAGTCAGGCTCCATGGCTCAGCGGGGAGTCTGCTCAAGATTCTCTCTCTCTCCCTCTGCCCCCTCCCACGCTGTCATGCTCTTGCTCGTGGTCTCTCAAATAAATCTTTTTAAAAAAAGAATTTCAACTTAAAAAAAAAAAAAAGAATTTCAAGATGGTGAAAGCAGAGCATTGTACCAAGCATACCCCTTGATGCCAACCCAACCTCTACCTCTTCAATGGCCAAGTTTTAGGATGGAGATTGGGTTATGTGGTCATGACAGTCAAGCTTTCACGGTAAAGATGTTCTTTATGATTCATCTGCTTCAATTGCCTCTTACTCAGAAAGGATTGGTATACTATGAAATGATGTATGGGGATAACCGATAACAAAGTCAAAACCAAATAACTGGCAAGTATTAATATTCTTCCTTTGACCCCCCCACACACACACCTTGACAGTATAAGGTGCAAAGAATCAGTTTACTCCAGGAAAATCTGCTGCAGAATTGTAATTCTCTGATCACGAATGTCCCTAACATTTTTTGAGATAAGAGGCACAGAGAACTTTGAATGAATTACAGCCTACAGGAAAAGGAGAAAATTCAACTATGCCACATTTTAGACTGTAAACCAAGCCTGTGCTCTTATCAAACAAGTTTTTCCTATAAAGAAAACCTGCACTGCATTCAAGCTCTTTTCTTCACCCCCGATGAATAGAAAGCCTGCTGTTTCCAGAAATCAGTATTTAGAGTGTGTGGCTTAATGGCGGCAACCAACTTCTCTATCAAAAGGGAGTTTAGTTCTGCGACTTTCTTTGTACTTTATCTCAGTATTTCACAAGAAGCTGGGGCAGCAGGGACACTGAGGAAGTGCAGACGCACAACACAGCAGGATTCTCTGGTTGTTTTTCAAGTGTCCAAGGTGAGAACGCTGAGAGCTGAGAGCAAAATGATGGAGGATTCCCTCTGCGCCACATCTAGTAACAGAAAGGGAATGAAATCACCAGGTATACTGGGACACCTAATGGTGAGTCATCTACTCTGGGGGCGTGATCTAATTAAGACCAATGACTCTTACAATAAAAGTTTATTCTGTCTGGACAGAGGATTTAAATGAAAAAAGACCAACTCTTGACTTCCAGGAAGTGCCCAGCAGATTTTTTTTTTTTTTAATATAGCAGGAGGCAAGAACACACTCACTTAGCAGTAACCATTCACCAAATGGGGTGATGCTCCTTTTTCTTTAAAATTTCTTGAAAATTAGCATCGATTTTGAGCCACTCAAAAATCAGGACTTCAAAGTCAACAAGAATTACACCAAATAACTACAAATCCTTATCCTAATGGCAAAGTACATTAGCTTGCAACCTGAGGACACCAATAACTCCCCGAATTGTTGAGATGCCTTTAAAAGCAGGCGTTCTCCCGCAGAACACTACTGACACTTTGGACCAGATAATTCTCAGTTGTGGAGAGCTGGCCTGCGCACTGGAGAATGGTGACCTGCATCCTTGGCCTCTACCACTAAGATCCCAGTAGCACCCATTCCCCACTGGTAACAACCAAAACTGTCTCCACGCATTACCACTGGGGGTGGGGAGGTGTGTGTCAAAAATCACCTCCAACTGAGAACCACTGATTTATAGAGATGGCAAGAAATAAAAGACAAGGAATCAAAGCACTGGAGGACAGGAAGGGATTTTAAGGATCCTGTGCCCCCGTGATTCTCAAACTTTGGGATGTATCAGCCTCCGAGGGCCAGAAAGGGAAAATGCCTTGCCCAAGGTCACAGGGCGAGTTACAACCTGGACTCCAAACCCAACCAAGCCCTTCCTTACGAAAAGGGCGGGGGCGGGGCGGGGCGCGGGGGTGAGCGATGTGTGCCATTCTTACCTCTTTGGGAGAGGCAGGAAAGCCTAACTGGTTACGACAGTGTACTCTGGAGCCAGCCGGCCAGAGTTCAAATCCCGACTTGGCATTTATTAAGTGGGCGACCTTGCACAAGGCACATAACCTCTGAGAGCCTCAGTTTCCTTCGCTGGCAAATGTAATAATAACAGTGCCTACCTCCTAGGACTGCTGGAAAGGCAAAAAAAATTATTATAATGTTCCTAAAGCCCTCGGCATAGGGCCTGGCACCCAATAATCACTCCGATACATCTCCTCTTATTATTATTGTCGCAGGCTGCAGAACTGAAAGGGTCTGCAGGACCCCGAAGGCAGTGAGCTGGAGATGGGCACTGAGGGACGAAGCGACCCCCGATTCCCCCCCTCCCCGCCCCTCGCCGCAGGCGAACCCCGCCCCGCCCCTCACCTGGCCCCGCAGCTCCTTCTCCAGCTGCCGGTAGTCGTTGTTCCAAACCAGGAGGTGCAAGGGGAAGTGGCCGCTGTTGTCGCGGGCCGAGGACATGGCGAGAAGGCCGCAGCCGGGCCCGCACTGCCCGCTTGCCAAGCCTCAGCCCCGGCGGGGTCTCCGGCGCCCGCCCGCCTGCCCGGCGGCCGACCAGAGAGAGAGAGAGAGAGGACGGAGCCAGTGAGCGAGGGGCGCGGTACGCGGTGGGGCGGCCTACGGGCCGGGTGCGGGGCGCGCGGGAGGTCGGGGGTCGCGGGCCGGGTCGGGGACCGGGTCGACCGCGCCCACCCCGCGCCCCGCCGCGCTCCCGCCCGCGCTGACAGCTCCCGAACCGACTTCTGCGGGCCGAACTGCCCCAAACAGGGAAGTGCGCGGGGCGAACCACCGCTCGCCGCGGCGGAAGGAGACGAGGCCAGACGCACGGCCCAGAGTTGGCCCGACCGCACCCACCCCCAACTACACACCGGAAAACACAGTGCAATCTCAAAACAGAGCTAGCATTCTCTCCCTTTGTCCAGGATCTCGACACGGACAACTCGGCCTATCCCTCACCAGCCTCTATCCCCCTGCTCCAGCTGTCTCATATGGTTCAGTCCACAACTGGGCCTCTTCCATCAGCTCTGGGTTCAGGGGGTGGCCGCTGGGGCCTGGACCAAACCATTACAGTTACTGACTCCCTTGCAGCCTTTTTGGAATTGGGCAGTGCTTCCATGATTGGCCAGAAGCCATTTTGGAAGTGGGCAGCACCCAACAATTTTAAAGAGGGAATATTACAAACTCTGGAGAAGTGGCATCGAAGATTTGCCTAGCAAGGGGATTGTTCTGCCTTAGGGTTTCTCAACATTGGCACACTGTAAACTCGGTAATTTTCTTTCTGTGAGGGTTGTCCTGTGCTTTCTAGGATGTTGAGCAATATCCCCGGCGTTTCTATCCCCTGGATGCCGTAGCACTTCCCCGCAAAAATGTCTCCAGACACTGCCAAATGTCCCCTGGGGGAGAAAAATCATCCCCAGTTGAGAACCACTTTCTACCAGAACTCCACACCGAGTTAGGATTCTAAGTGACCTTCAGTGTGGTTTCCACATATGAGGGGCATTGGTTTTTCATACTAGCCACTCGAGTTTTGGATTATGGCTAAAAAGACTCACGGAGAATACCCAGACTTGATCAGAGTCTGCAAATATTAAGTTCGTTCTTTGAGTTTCAACCTCAGACACTACAGCTCTTTGATTCAATGAAGAGCCAAGTCAACTTAACAGCTATTCCCCAGCCTAAGTTATCGGCACAGTTGTCTGCAACTAGACCACACAGCCGGGTGAAGTTATTCAGTGCATCCTGAAAGCAGAGCCTCTCCCTCCCCAGCCTGCGTGCATCCAGCTCTCAGATGCCTGCCACAACAGCTGTTCAAGAATCCTGGCCTAATCCGTTCTCCACACGCGTTGAGTCGGGAAGATTTGTGAGTCTGTGGAACAAAGCAGGGTGCAGGAGCACCAGGATGTGACCCAGAGGCCCTTGCTGTGGAATGTGTGGGAATTATTCCCATCATTCCTACACCATACATTTATCAAAATGGAGAGGTAGACCAACACCCAGGGCCTCTAAGACCTCTTCCAGGACTTCCTATCTTTCCAGAAGCCTTACACAACTTAATCTTTCTTTTCATCATTCAATGCTCATTGGACATATCTCTTATTCATGAGTTGAAGAACTCCACAACGGCAGCTTACCAGAGTATCTAAAGTCAAAACAGTGCCTGGCCCTTAATGGGCATCCAGTATTTCCCAAATGCAGATCATGGCTGCATTTACATGTAATACATATAATAAGTATTTACAGTATTAGGGTCGCATCTCTTCTCTCATTCACACTGATTAAACTCATCTCATTGTGTTTATCTCACAGTATGTATCCTACAGATTACTGTAGGTCATCTATTCTTATTCTCAAAAACAAAAAGTTGTGATTAGAAACTAGTAGTAAGGGGCACCTGGGTGGCTCAGTGGTTTAAGCCTCTGCCTTCAGCTCAGGTCATGATCTCAGAGTCTTGGATTGAGCCCGCATCTGGCTCTCTGCTCAGCGGGGAGTCTGCTTCCCCCCTCTCTCTGCCTGCCTCTCTGCCTTCTTGTGGTCTCTCTCTCTCTCTGTGTCAAATAAATAAATAAAATCTTTACAAAAAAAGAAAGAAAGAAAGAAACTAGTAGATACTAAATACCAAGAATAGCAGGAGCTACTATTATTGAGTGCTTACAATGAGGCAGGCACACCACATTTTTCTGTAAATTATTCCATTTGTCCTTAGCCAGATAGTAAATATTTAGCTCCGTTGGACATATGAGTTCTGTCAGATATTTTTCATCGACTTCCTCTTGTTTTTCTTCTTTACAATCCTTTAAAAATGTTTTTTAAAAAATTATTCTTGTGGAGGCCAAGAAAAATCAAGGCCATCCCACCTCAGGTTTAGCCTTAGCATAGGTACAGCCATCTTAGCTCTGGCAGCCATTTCAGACCCCTGTGCCCAAGGGCTGAACTTTCCCCTACTTTGCTTTAGTTCCAGAGACCCCCCACCCTGCTTTAGTAAGCCCCACCCTGCTTTAGTTCCAGAGACTCCCACCCTGCTTTAGTAACAGGAACCCATAAATAGCACTGTCTTAACTAATCTCTCTGGGGTCCAAGTCCCTACTCCGCTGTGCCGGTATACTTGGGCCCAAGCTTAAGCTTGTCAAATAAACCCTCAGGTGATTGCATCGGTGCTTGGCTCCTTGGTGGTCTCTCAGACGCGAAAACTTGGGCATAACATTCTTATGTAGCAAGACTTGCCAAAAAAAAAAAAACCACACACACACACACACACACACACACAAATCGTGCACTAGAGGTAGAGAACACATCAGCTCCATTTTGCATGAGACTAAAACTGCAGCCAAAGAAACACCTAGTGTTGGTTATTTTATGTATTTTGTTGTAGATCTACCACAATAGAATGTAAGCGCCATGAGAACAGGAAATTTTGTCTTTGCTCACTGTTATGTCTTCTGCGCCTGGAACAGTATGTGGAACAGAGTACATGCTCAGTAAGTATTTATTGAATAAGTGAATGAACTTGACCAGTTATACTAAGTGACTTGACTATTGAAGGCCTCGGGAAACATGTGGCTGCAGAATCCTGGCCACGAGATTTTGCTGCTTCTCCTGTTATTAATCAGTGCTGGGACTTCCAAAGAGAGAGAGAAACCCAAACTGAAGAAAATATATAGGCAGGGCAGAAGATGCTCAGGCACATATCTGCCCTCACTCAAGATGGCGACAAAGCAGCGTGCCCTTTCCGGTCACATGATCTGCCCCTCGGCGAAGGGCACCTCCCCGCGCGTGCGTGCTGCGACGCGGCTGCGAGGCGCTGAGGGGAGAGGCGCCACCGCCAGCGCCGCCGGGGAGACCCGTTAGAGCGGAAGCGCCTCCGCTGCAGCCTTCGCTGTCCCGCGGACCCTGATTCCTGGCAGGTGGGAGGCGGGAGCCATGTCGAAGCGGCTTCGGAGCAGCGAGGTGTGCGCTGATTGCAGCGGGCCGGGTGAGTCGCACCGGCCGGGCCCGCTTCCCTCAGTTCTGCTCGAGGGGACCCCTGCCCAGGGGCCGCCCCCTGGGTCGGGCGGGTCCCGGCGTCCGAACCCCACACCCCGGGTCCCAAAGAGGAGGCACCGGCGCGGCCTCCGGGCGGGACCCGTCCGGGGCCTGTCAAAGCCGGGCGGTCTAGGGACCCGCCGCCCTCACGCCCCTCCCTCTCGTCTCATCCCCTTTCGTCTCTGTCCCAGGCCGGGCGGGGAGGCTGCGGGGTCGAGGCTGCTTCCCCAACAGGAAGGGGCTTGGGCAATCCACAGGAAGGCCAATTACAGAAGTAAAATGCGAGCGTTCTCCCGGCTGCGGCCCCCAGAGGCTGCAGGTGTTCCCCCAGCTCCCCGCGCAGCCCCCCGGACCCCGCCCCGTGAGGGGGCCGTGCCTGGGGTGGGTGCGCTCGCCGCTTCCGTCTACTGATACTCTCTCTCCATAGGACCCCCGTATTTCCCTGTTGTAAGAGCCCGTATCCCGCTCCACCTCCACCGGGGAGAATCCCCAGAAGGTCGGGGTCTTGCAGACACAACCAGCGCTTGGGAGGCAATACCGGTCTCGAGTTTTGGGGTCTTAAGGACCTGGGTTCAAGCTAGGTTTTGTCTCTGGGTGACCTTGGACTGGTGATTTCATGTGGCCCAGCCTTAATTTCCTCATTTTTCCGATGGTGATAATTGGGAGACCCACATTCAGTGATAAGGAAGAGTCGATGAATATTCTTAGGATCATCTCATCTAAGTTTTTTCTGTATTGCGTTGTTTAGTACAGAACCTTTGCTGTCTCTTAAAACTGGAGTTGAGGTTCTAAATCATACATTAATTACAACCTACAAAACAAAATGATTGGCAGCAGACACATTTGGGCATTCAGGCCCGATAGACATGGGTGTGTTGAAAGGTCAAAACCGTTCTTCCTTGCCTAAGGGATTTAGCGTTTTCAGATTTAGAGTTCAGATCCCTTTTAGCAACTGAAACCGAATTGACAGGTCTCTGTGCTGTTCTTGGTGCTTTGATTAACCTGCTTTGAAATTTGAAGTAATTCAAAGGTAAGATGGCTTCTCTCGTTACAATAAAGTCCAATTAACCATCATAATTAAATCATTGAACACCAGTGTTTTCTGCAACGGTTCCAAACTTCATCTTGTTGCATGGCAGTAGAGACTGATTTTACATAGTACTTGTGATAAGTCAGACCTTGTGTGGTTCCTTTATGGCCTGTGTAGTGCAAGTAGGGTTACCAGTTTCCTTTGCAGATGGGGAAGGGGATAGAGGAGTTGAAAAAGAGGACCTCAAGTCAGTATGGGTTATACAGACTCCATCGTATTCTCTGAAAATGTTATTTGTTCCACTTCCTTATTTTCTTACTTGTTTTCGGTTGAACTTTCTGTGATGTGTTTCATTCACATGAAGTCTAGGTTCAGACTTCCTCTTGGAATGTGTATTCTTTACTCATTAGGTGATAGGGAGCAAAGGAAAACTGCTTCTCCATTGCTGCGCTAATGACTGTCTTGCCCTTCTGCAGAATTTCGTGCATATTTCAGAACATTTTCTCTTCCATTGTATCATTTTCGTTGTTGTCTCAAATGCCTAATCTACAGAGACTTGAGTCACTTCCTTCCTGTTTTGAATATAATTAGGCTACCTTGAAATGTTGTGTGAACTTGAGCAGCTAGGAATTTGTGCTGCCTTTTCTGCAGAGCCCCAGTCAAGAGAGTTGCCTCTTTCTCGAAGGGGTCCCTTTAAAGATTCTGATGACTGCTGAGGCCTTCTCCCCAGAAAATGCACATGTAGTCACTCTTTCATCCAGAATTCAGTTTCTTAATGGGGTCACAGACATTTCTGAGGTCCATTTGTGGTGTTCCTGGGGAGGAACTCCCCATTGTGGAGTCCGGGGAAGAAGCCCCAGCATAAAATAGTTTACCTTTAGGCAACGGTTTCACCCAGCCTCATTCATATGAACTCGATTTTGATTTTGCTGTGCTGTGAATGTTCTAATATTTTTTCCATGGACTGTGATCCATGATGTTAAAGTGATGAATTGAGGACCTTGCTTAATGTGTATTAAATCCTTGTTGTCTTACTCCTATTTAATTTTCTCCAGGAACACTGTGAATCCTCTGAATGATATGTGAAAACAAAAGCTATGCTTCAAAATAGTCTTTTTATTTTTTTTAAGTATCTGTACCAAACTACAAAAAGCGGTGCTCTTTTTTTTTTTTTCTTTAAGATTTTATTTTTTTATTTGACAGAGATCACAAGGAGGCAGAGAAGCAGGCAGAGATTGGGAGAGGAAGCAGGCTCCCCGCTGAGCAGAGAGCCCGATGTGGGGCTGGATCCCAGGACCCTGGGATCATGACCTGAGCCGAAGGCAGAGGCTTAACCCACTGAGCAACCCAGGCGCCCCCAAAAAAACGGTGTTCTTATGTATCTTTGTAGGGATCTTTGGTCTTGACAGTTTCAGTCTTTGCATTTCAGAATAGTATAGTAGTACTGACAGAATTATACTTCATTGATTTATTTTGGTTTTGTTTTATTTCACGGCAAACCTTTTACCATGATCACATCTTAGCAAATATTTTTTTTAAATGGCAACATTAATGAATCTCTTTTTAATGAATCTCTTTTTAATGAATCTAGTTCATTTTAAAGGTTTTGTTTTATTATATTTTGAGAGAGAGCACAAGTGTGCACCCGTGCACACTCCTACACATGCACAGAGAGGGGCAGAGGGAAGGAGACTCCCAGGTAGACTCTGTGCTCAGTGTGGAGCCTGATCTCACGACCCTGAGATCATGACCTGAGCCGAAATCAGGAGTTGCTCCCTAAGCCGACTGAGCCACCCAGGTGCCCCCAATCTAGTTCATTTTAAATAGTTTGTTCTCTGAGCTCAACTATCTGAAAACTCCATTTCAGATTTTTCACTGTAATAATAGTGTTCACCTGAAACAGTTGAAGTCTTAAGTATTGACAATCAAAACTTTTTCCAGTTGTCAAGAATTTCAGCGCCTCTTGAAAATACCTGAATGGTACTTCAAAAATAATTTGTAAAAGTTGTAACAGCTGACATTACTGAGTACTTACTATATGCAGAGAACTTTACCCTTTATATGCCCCCTACTCTGAGGTATGCTCTTATTTCCATTCGACCCATGGTGAGGATGCTCAAAAAAATAACTTATCTGAGATCATTAGAAGTGGCAGAGTTGCGGTTCCAACCCTGGACTGCTTGTCTCCAGAGCCACCCTCGCAGCCACCACACCCTGTGACTCCCAGGATTTGTCTCTGATTTCATAATATGGTTGGAAAGGATTTGAATAAACTCTTAAAAATGGCAAAGATGGTGTACATGCATTTTAGAGATTTCTGTGGACATTGAAGAATTTCTAAATATAACTCTTAGACCAGGCAGCTTGAGTGGCACCTTTTGTCACCCCATTGTGAGTCTGACAAAATGTAGAAAGTCTGTTTTTGTCTCGGGTTTCTAAGTGTATGTGTTCAGTTTACTTGCCCCGTGTGGATTATTCTCACTCCTTACCAAGTGCGAATTATTCCTCATCTCAAAGGATGTCTGCTGAAGCTCCATGGGACTTCATGGGAAAAAAGTATTGTACACGCACCAAAAATGTTACTCATTTTTATTTTACACCTTTGCCCCTTTAAAGCAGCTGTTATTCCAGCTTCTGTTCTTTCAGAGCAGTTGCAAGGTGGGACTCAGCAGCTTATTTGAAACGACTAATGAATGTCATAGAATATTTTCTAGCAGAGAAGGCCAGGTTCCTCAGTGTGTCCTGCGAGCCACCACAGCCACCCAGTGTTACTGTGTTGCTTGCAGCTTTCTGCCAGGCCTTGAGCCATGCACAGGTATGGCAGTAGATCAGGGTAGCAGTCTCTTCAGCATTTAGTTCAGATAACAGTCTGGATTATTCATTGACATGGCTGTGTTATCTTGCTGTTTGTGGAGGTTGGTTTGAAATGACTCATCCGTCCTCTCCCAGTTTGCTTCTCTTATGTTGAATGAAGGAGCAGGTAATCTGAGACAGTAGATCACATTAGGGCTACAGACTGTGACCCTACTCCAGAAAGGAGACAACTGCTTATTTAGGGCTTCAGCACATGTGTTTAATCTCAACCAGTGTGGTACCCAGTCAGCCAAGAAAGGTGGTATCATCAGACAGGCTCACCAGCTCGGCATGTTGACTAGCATCATAAGACAACAGAAATGTCTTGTTTTTCTGGAAAACCAAACCTCAATCGTCGTTGGCCATCTGGCAGTATAGCAGCCACCTGGTATCCTCGACACTGAGATGTCATTCTTCTTTCCAGATCCTTCCTGGGCATCAGTAAATAGGGGAACTTTTATATGTGACGAGTGCTGCAGTGTCCATCGGAGCCTAGGGCGCCACATCTCACAAGTAAGGCATCTTAAACACACACCGTGGCCTCCCACGTTGCTGCAGGTAAACAGTAAGAATTCTCATGGTTTGTAATTTGAGCTTGTAGGGTTCATGGTTTTAGCAACTAAATTCCCCTACTACACTTAAATCTTACAAAAATGTTTGAATCGTAACTGAATAGAGGTGCTGTGCCTATTAGTGCTATATGTGAGAACTGAATTCCTCATTTGGATTTTTTTTCCCCTTCTAAGAAATAAATTTTGTCTCAAAAACTCAATTATAGATAGAAAACTACTTGTTAAAATTTCCTGGTAACATTTCACTGCTGACTTTCTGGACTGTCACCAGAAATTGTTTTCAAATGGTCCATCTTTTTCGTATACCACAATAAATGTTTCTGAAAGCTGCAGTCTCGGGAAATTTTCCTTACGTTTCCTGCTTTGAAGCATGGACTGAGACTCCTCAGAAATCTCTGAAACATCTGATCTAAATCTTCTCGAAATTCTTGTTACAATTTAGACACCAAATTGGGTTGACATGTTTCGATAGAATGCCTGACACCCTGGTAAGTGTCAAGTGAGCTCTTTGTTATCTTTGGGGCTGGATGTCATGTCACCTGTACTTCTATTTTGGGGTGCGCATTCTTCAAGTCCTATTTGGAAGTCAGAATTAAGCATGTGTTTCGCCTTCATTTGTCTTGAGTACATATTTTACTAAATCTGTGGCAGCTGCTCAACATACCCCTTAAACTTGTCTGTGTAAACCAACAGAGCGGAATAAGTGGGTTTGGGTCTCCAATGTGACACTGTCTCCACCAATGCAAAAAAAACCAGATGGGGCCGTGTCAGGAGTCATGCTTTGAAATGAAATTGGAAAGTATGATTTATCAATAACTCGTGCTTAGAAGTTTCTAACAGCTCCTTCTCATGTGAAAGCGGGTGTTTATTGCTCTCAGGTGTTTGTTTACAGATTTCACTATAGGGCCGGAAGAAAGTCCAGAGATGAGTAGTTTAAAATGCCAGGCTTGACCCTAAAAGAACAATTCCGGGGCGCCTGGGTGGCTCAGTTGGTTAAGCAACTGCCTTCAGCTCAGTTCACGATCCCAGAGTCCCGGGATCGAGTCCCGCATCGGGCTCCCAGCTCCACGGGGAGTCTGCTTCTCCCTCTGACCTTCTCACCTCTCATGCTGTCTCTCACTGTCTCTCTCTCAAATAAATAAAATCTTAAAAAAAAAAAAAAAAACACAATTCCGAAAGGATGGCACATGGAACCACCAGTGGTACTCAAGACAAATGTAGGTAATACTCAAATATTTATTTTAATGGTTGCATTAGTTTAATGTTTATAGGAAAACTTTCGCACACCAAGCCATAATTGCTAGTAAAAGTTTTTTAAAAATTAGTGGATTAAAGGAAAATCTTAGGCAGAAGGTCTAGACAGTACGTGGGTTGTTAAGAATCTTAAAAACTGTATTTGAATGATCACTGCTCCAAGTGTCAAAGTGCTCTTCATAATATGTAAGAACAATTTAATCAGACGTGTTTAGGTACTTGGCCATCCTCCTGGTCAGACCTGAATCCTGCATATAGGGGTCATCCTTCTCTTTCTGGAATCAGAAAGCAATGATTTGTAGGACATCCCCGTCATGCTGATGTTTGCAGTAGGGCTTGGTTTTCCCAGTTCAGTCACTACAATTTCCAGTGAATATTTGTGAAAAGACATTAAAATATGATTTTATACTGCTTGGTTTTAGATGGTTGAAACCTTGTATAATAATGGTGCTAATTCTATATGGGAGCATTCTTTGCTGGACCCTGCCTCTATTATGAGCGGAAGACGTAAAGCTAATCCACAGGATAAAGTACAGTGAGTGGAATGTTTATCAATACTTTTATTTCTTCATAACCCCTGGGGCCCACTAAAAGGAGTGCAGCTACTTTGGACCAGCCTCCACCAAGGGCGGCACAGGAGGTGATTACACTCCAGTTGTGCACGGAGCTCTTTGCTATTAGAAATGGAGAACAGGGCCCCACACAGAACCATCTTTTTTGCATGGTTGCACAGCACGAGTCAGTAGCTTCTCCAGTTTGAAACTAAAGCTTGGAGGCTGTTAATGTAATCAGACTTAAGCTTAGGTGCTCAGACAAGAGGCAGTCAGACCAGAGATGTAGGTTCTGGACTCCAGTCTGCCTGATGCCTCTCCCTGTACGATGGGATGTAACAGCTGCTTCCTCACAAGGCTGCTAGGTCAATTAAGAAAATTACAAAGAAAAAAAAAGAGGCTCTGAAAAGCAAATACTCTGCAATCCTGGCCATTAGAATGACTAATTGACATTTTGAGGCTTCAGGTCTTAAACTCCTGCTGGAACTTACTTCACTATTGTTCCTTTTCTTCTCAAGTAGGGGATGCGGGTCACTTCCTCTTCCTTTTACAGCCTAAAGAATGGGGAATGTTACATCTGAGCTTCGAGTGAGCTGTTTTTTTTCCCCCCCCCCTGCAAACCAGCCCTAATAAAGCGGAATTCATCAGAGCCAAGTATCAGATGTTAGCATTCGTACATCGCTTGCCTTGCCGGGATGATGACAGCGTGACTGCCAAAGACCTTAGCAAGGTGGGTCATACCTTTTAAAATCCCTAAAATTGCTGGATGAGATGTTATATTGTTTTGTTTGGAAAAAAACTTAAAGAGGGGGTGCCTGGGTCACTCAGTCGTTGAGCATCTGCCTTCAGCTCAGGTCGTGATCCCAGGGTCCTGAGGTCGAGCAGTGTGTTAGGCTCTTGCTCAGGGGGAAGCCTGTTTCTCCCTCTCCTACTCCCCCTGATTGTGTTTCCTCTCTCGCTGTCTCTCTGTCAAATAAATGAATAAAATCTAAAAAAAAAAAAAAACTAAACTAAACTAAATAAAACAGGAAAAATAAGAAAGCAAAAAACTTAAAGAGGAGGAAAAGAAAAAACAAAAAACTTTCTGTACTCTAAATAATTAATAACAGCCCTTTTTGCAGTTGGTTTCATCTTTAATTTTAGTTCAAGTGGCAGCCATTAATGTTAGTGGAAGTACAAGGGCAAAGAGGAAAAATAAGTATGTATCTAGAAAATGATTTGCATTTTTCATATATGTTTTAAAATTATACTTCTGTAAGTTTTTTGTTTAACTTTGAAGTAGGAACCATCCTTGAGTTTGTTTCTAGAAGGGACTAGAAAGTTTGAGGGACTTCTTTAGTTTTCTGGACTGCATACTGAGTAGGATCTTCAGGAAGCAGGATGACTCAAAGCTGTAGTGCTTGGGATTCTTTATTATACTTGTAAAATGAGTAGATGGCTTTCTTTATGTGGGCCTTCACATGTTTTTCAGAAATGCCGTGAGAAATATGCATTTTTTTTTCAAAGCACTGCTCTTAGGAAACGTTCACACAGAGTGTGGGTGCTCACAATCAGAATATTTATAATTGTTACTTTCGCTTATTAATAAGGCTTGGCATGGGTTTTTTACCATAACTTAAAAATGTTAAATACATTAATTTTAAAAATAAGGTGTGGCTATAGATGCTGGAGTAGATTTCTGCGTTCTTACAATAAGGGTTATTGCATTTTGGACAATTCTAGGTTAGACCTGAAGGAAAGCAGCTCATCTTCTGCATATGTAAAAGCTTTTATGCAGTGGTACAGAATTTGGTATACTCAGGCCCATTTCCCACCCAGAAAGACTTGAAATATTATATACAAGGCCAAGAATGGTGTTGTAGGGAGGGTGTGCTATAAGGCAGAATCCTGTAGCTTACACAGTATAGGAAATGCAGCCCTAACATCCTAGGTTCAGTAGAAAAAGCAAATAATAATGATGTTTATAATGACAGCAGCAGTAGTCTTTGAGCATTTCCTGTGTAACAGGCTCCATGCTAAGCACTCTGTTATATCGTCAACTCCTAACCCTGTGAATACATGGCATTTTTATCACCATTTTAGAGCTGAGAAAACTGAGGTTCAGAATGCTTAAAGAACTCCCACAAGGTCACGTATCTTGAACAATTTATGGTTTGAATTTCAAGTCTTTGAGACTGCAGAGCCGTGTTCACCCTTCTTCTCCTACCACTTCTCACTTCAGGTCTGGTTGTGCCACCTAGACAAATCATGCTTCTGGGCAGATCGGCCCTCCCAGCCCTCATTCCCTTCTCAGTAAAGTAGGCATGGCCCCTCTTTAGATCCCCGGGGTAGTTGTGAGCAGCAAGGGAGAAGTGCTGCTTCCACCTTACTGAGCTAAATAAAGATTAATTATTACTAATATAATGCATATTAAAATGATCTGCCAGCTGCTCTGGTATACCAGTCTTTATACTTGTAACAAAAATTTTTTTGGTTTGTGTTTTTTAGCAACTCCACTCAAGTGTGAGAACGGGGAATCTCGAAACCTGTTTGAGGCTGTTATCTTTAGGAGCACAAGCCAACTTCTTTCACCCTGTGAGAAAAGCATGAATTGATTCAGATATTAAATTGAAACTAAGTGGGTTGTGTTTGTGTGGCCTTTGGTTTTATTTAATTTGCTTGTTTGTCTACTTTTTGTTAATATTTCTCAGGAAAAAGGAAACACCCCACTCCACGTCGCCTCCAAAGCAGGGCAGATTTTACAGGCGGAATTATTGGCAGTATATGGAGCAGACCCAGGCACACAGGATTCTAGTGGAAAAACTCCTGTGGATTATGCGAGGTGAGAGACCTAGATTCTTGTCACTGCCTTGATTAGGGATTATTTATGTTGGGTATGATTCATTGCTAGATGGCTAAATCGTGGATGATTAACATTTAACCCCTTTAAGTTAAGGATTTACATCCTGCCATTTTGCAGATGAAGACATTTCAGATACATATGAGCTCAGAGCCTGGCAAAGTCAGAGGAGGTAGAACCATTAACGAGTGTGCTTCGCTTCCAGTGTTTCACATGACTTCTAACGCAGTGGTGTTTGAGCCATAGGCAGGTATCAAGAATTGCAAAACCCACTCCTCAGTTTCTTAATACATTTAGTCATTGCTTGAACTTAAAAACAGATCTGTGCAGATAGGTAAGTGATTAAACAAGTAATAGTAAAATGTTAATTGTAGGTTTTAGGTAGCAGACGTCTGGGTGCTTGCCATAAAATCCTTTTCAGTTTCTTCTTGGTTTAAAAACTTTGTAAAATGCTGGAAAAATTAATACGTAAGTTAGTCTTGAATATCATTTAAGATGGTTCATCTTTCCTTCTTTTTCCAAATTAACTTTTTAACAACTGCAAAGCGCTCTATTCTGTTCTGCAGAAGATAAAATGGGTAAAATGCCAAAACTGTGCCATCCCAGAATTTCTTCTTCTTCTCTCATGGAGGAGATGATTCATAAATGCACAAAAGAGTTAAATGAAACAAGATAATATGGAATTAATTGCCAGAATCGGTAACAGGTCTTAAAAGGCATATGTAAGTTTTCTTCCTTGTGGCCTAGGTCAGTAAGAAACTTCTTTAGTTGGTCTTTGAAAAATGGGTTGGATTTGGGTATGTGAAGGAGGGGCTAAAGCATTCCAAGTGAAAAAGAAAGGCATGATTTAAGTTCAGGAGGGAGAGAGAAAAAAAGAGGAGGGATGCCTGGGTGGCTCGGTAGTTGAGCCTTTGCCTTCGGCTCAGGTCATGATCTCGGGGTTCTGGGATCAAGCCCCGCATCGGTCTCTGCTCAGCAGGGAGCCTGCTTTCCCCCTCTCTCTCTGCCTGCCTCTCTGCCTACTTGTGATCTCTCTCTCTCTCTGTCAAATAAACAAAATCTTAAAAAAAAAAATGAGGAAAAAATATACATATCTCAGAAATCAAACGTGGTAGATCGAAGGAACGTCCTATAGTGTCTTGAATGGTGGGAAGAGAAAGTGGCAGAAACTAGACTTCGGCGTTTAAGGGAAGAGAGCCCTCAGTACATGGTATTTATTATCACTTACCTTGTAGTTTCCTCGTGTGCCTTGCATATGTAATAGTTTCTCAGTGTAATAATTTATGTATATGCCTGGTTACTAAACAGATTTCAAGCAGCTTAAGCATTCACTTCGTGAATGAAGAAAGGCAGATCTTGTGTTTTCTGTTAGGCAAAGTAAGGTTTTAGGAGGTAAAAGTAGCTATGAGTGGGAGCTGTGCATTCTGTTGGTCTGTCTCTCCCTGAATTACAAACCTTAAAGTGGATACTAAACTCTCACCCAGAATCAGACTGGCTGCATCAGGAGCCTCTAGGGGAAAAACCTTCTTCAAAATACTGATGTTCACACTCTTCCCATCCGTGCTGATGCGGAATTCCCAAGGTTGGGGCCTAGATTTCTATATGTTTTTTAAAAACACTTCAGTTAATTTTTGAGAACCTCTACTCTAGACCATTTATTAGTTTTATTTTCTACCTCATTAGATGAAGTTATTCTTTATCGCTCCCTTAGTCTTTAATTTCTTTATTAAGTATTCTGTTCTGTAAATTAATAAAGGAAGGGGGTAGTTCAGATTGTGAAAACAGTTTATAAAGGTGGGAATCAAAGTAGACCTTGACAGTTTACCTCACACAAAAGGTTGATTATTCTGAGAAGTCACATTTGGTAAATTGCTCAGGTGTCTTAGAAGACATCTCTGTACTTTTTTATTCTAGAGCCAGTGGCTGGTGAGGAATATAAATGGTACTTTGTTTTCTCTTGGTAGGCAAGGAGGGCACCATGAGCTGGCAGAACGCCTTGTAGAAATACAATATGAGCTGACTGACAGACTAGCCTTCTATCTCTGTGGCAGGAGACCAGGTGAGTGAAAGGACAGCAGTCTCTCTACACCTTCAGTCAGGTAACTAACCTCTGGAAAAACAAGTTGGAACACTGTTACCCAAGATCTCTGCTTCAACATATCCTTAAGAAAATTGCAAATAAGGATTTTTATTTGAAATAACTATAACATACTCAGTTATATATGAAAGGTATAGTCAGTCAAAACTCCTGGAATTTTGGTTTTTAAGACTTTAGCTCCAGAGGTGTAACTATTTTAAGAACCAAAGAGCATAATTGAATGTGCACTATAGTTCTTGTGCATAATGGGACTAAGAATGAAAGAGCAGAGCAATAACTTACGTAGTTATTTGAAGAATTCTCCTATCAAAGGAATGGAAGAGAGTCCAAAAATGAACTTTGCCAAGTTTATTTATGAAGTAGAACTGGAGTCGGCAAACTGTGGTCTGTGGGCCAAATCTAGCCTGTCACCGGTTTAAAGTTTTGGTGCAAGATAGCCATGTCCATTCATTTACATATCGTCTGGCTGTTTCATGCTACTGTCACAGAACTGAGTAGATTGAGGGCTGCCTGGCTAACTTAGTAGAGTAGGTGACTCTTAATCTTGGGGTCATGAGTTTGAGCCCCACATTGAGTGCAGAGCTTACAGAAAGAAAGAAAGAAGGAAAGGAAAGAAAAGAGTAGATTGAGTAGTTGCAACAAAGACCATATGGCTACAAAGCAAAAAATATTTACTGTCTGGACCTTTACAGAAAGTTTGCCAATCCCTGATTAGAATATCCACATACACCTGCACAATGGTTCCCTAACCTGGTTGTATGATGGAGTTAATAACTTGGTTGTATGATGGAGTTAAGAGCCTCTGGTGTGGTTCCCAGGGAGATGGGGTAAGCACACTCCACCCTTTCTTTCCTGCTAACTACAATTTAAAACCCTGGACCAGAAGCATGGAGTAGCTATCTAAGGACTCTGGATGGTGGTTTAGGGAGCTCAAAATACCATCGAGCTGGTGGTGAGTGTCCTGTTTATTTTACTTCTGATATGGCCTTTGTGATAGCCTGAAATCTGGAACTGTATAACAGGTGCAAAGAAGCCTTCTCTCTCTGGTCTATGGAGCAGTAAATCAGATCTTATGGGACAGAGAATTAGGGGGTTCCCCTGGGTTTTTTTTCTCCTTCTTCCTTTTTCCCCACTCTAGCCCCTAGGCAGTCATGTGGCTGCAGCAATGGCAGCACAGCTGCCTAAATCTCTAACCAAAAGTGTGAGGAGAATCCTAACTGCATTTTTTTTTTTTCTATTCTCTCATCACTTGGCCAGGAGGCAGAGCCTAACCTGGTCAGTTGCCTGCTAAAATTCTTCTATGGAGAATATTAATGTTCTCCATAGAATTTAAAGAAGACTCAGCGTTTCACAACATCATACACAAAATGTCTGGGATATCAACTGTAATTACTTGACATAGGAAGAACCAGGAAAATTCCGAAGACTTGCAGGGGAAAAGATAGTCAACAAATGCCAACCCCGGATGACACAGATGTTGTAATTAATCAGACAAAGATTAAAGCAGATAGCAACATCATGCGTTAAGAAGTAAGGGTGAATGTTCTTGAAGCAAATAGAAATATAGCAGGTCTCAGCAGAGAAACTGACCCAGATAGAAATGCTGAACTGAAAAATACAATAATGAAAATTTTAAAACTCACTGGATGGGCTTAATAGCAGACTGGAGATGACAGAAAAGAGTCAGTGAATTGAAATAGATCACTAGAAATTACCCAGTTTGAGCAACAGGGAGAAGAAAGAGTGGGAGGAAAAAGAAACTGAACACAGAGCCCAGGGACCTATGTGACAATATCAGAAGGTCGTATTTGTATCCTCAGACTCCGAGAAAGAGATCCAAAAGCCTCTTGCAGAAAAAATATTTGAAGAAACATGGTTTCAAAACTCTAAATTTGGCAAAAGACGTAGACTTCAGATTTAAGAAACTCAGAGATTCCCAAACAGGATAAACTCAATAAAATCCTCCCTCAGACACATGAAAATCAAACTGCTGAAAACCCAAAGACCAAAAAAAAATTGAAAGCAGCCAAGGGGAAGAAAAATGACAACATATGAAAAGACAGTTTGAATGGCTGTGGTTTTTAACTGCAAAGAGTCGAGATGAAAAAGTAGAACAATTTTTTAAAGTCCTGAAAGGAAAAAACTATCAATTCGTAATTCCTCTTCCAATGAAAATAACCTTCAGGAATGAAGGCAAAATAAAGACATTTTAAGATGAAGAGAACTAGTTGCTCTAACAGAAATGTGAAAGAAAGTTCTTTGGGTAAAAGGGAAATGATACCAAAGGGAATCTGGAACTTCAGAAGTGAAAGAAAAGCAACTGAAATGATAAATACCTGGACAGATATAATAGACTGTTTTCCTCCTAAGATCTTTGAGATATGCATGGCAGTTTAATGCTTGTCTGGTGGGGTGTTCAGCATATGTCAGTGTGATACATTGATAAGGACGACATAAAAGGGGAGCAGGTAAAAGAAGTATGGAGGTGAGGATTTTACATTCTTCTTAAGTTGACAAAATAGTCTAGACTAAAAGATTATGTATACTGTAATGCATAGTACAACCATTAAAAACAGTCTACACAATGGAAGGTGGTCAAAACCTCTAGAGATAAAATGAGATGTTAAAAATTACGCAAATAACAAAAGAGACTTCAAAACATTCCAGAAAAGAGAAAAAAGGAGAGAAAGAGGAACAAAAACCTGAGGCCCAAACAGAAACTAAACAAAAATTCTAGACTTAAATCCAAACATATTAATAATTACATTAAATGTTATGTTAATGACATAAATGTACCAAATAAAAAGCAGAGATTGTCAGAATGGATTTAAAATTAAAAATGAGCTCTAATAACTATATGCTCTCTATAAGAAACCTACTTTAAATATAATGATAGAAGTTAGTTAAAAACAGAAAGGTATAAAAAGATATATCCTGGGAACACAGTAAAAGAAAGCTAAAGAGTTTATGTTAATACCAAACACAGTAGGGACACCTGGGTGGCTCAGTCAGTTAAGCATCTGCCTTCAGCTTGGGTCGTGGTCGCAGGGTCCTGGGATCGGGTCCCATGTCGGGCTCCCTGCTGCTCCACCTGCTTGTGCATTCACTTTCTCTCTCTGACAGATAAATAAATAAAATCTTAAAAAAAAAAAAAAAAACAAAGAACAAAGTAGACTTTCAGGGCAAAGAAAATTAGCAGGGATAGAGATAACAGTTTTCCAAGGAGATGTAACAATTCTAAATGTGTACACACCTAGCAACAGGGTTTCAAAATATATGAAGCAAATTTTGATAGAACTAAAAGGAGAAAAGGTCAAATCCCCAATTCTGGGATATTCAGCAGTCTTCATGTAGTAGTAGATGGAACTGGTAGATGGGAATCAGCAAGGATACGGGGCACTTGTCTGGTGCAGTTGGTAAAGCATGTGACTCTTAATCTCAGGGTCATGAGTTCAAGCTTCACAGTAGGGATGGAGACCACTTAAAAAAAAAACAAATAAAATGAAATTTAAAAGAAGAAAATCAGCAAAGATAGCAAACTGAAACCAAACCATCAGCCAACTGCATGTAGTTGACATTTGTCGTGTGTTCTATCCAACATTGTCAGAATACACACTCCTTTCAAGTACATGTTGAACATTAACCGATTAGACCATATCCTGGGTTATAAAACAAAGCTTAACCAATCTAAAAGAATTAAGATCTTAAAGAGTATATTCTCTGACCATAATGGAACTAAGGTACTAAAAAGTAGTAAAACTGTAACTGGAAAATTCCCAAATGTTTGGAAATTAACACAGTTCTAAATAATCCATGGGTCTAAGAGGAAATCTCAAGGAAAATTAGAAAATATTTTCAGATGAATGAATTATGAGATGCAGCTAAAGCAATTCTTAGAGGAAATTTTATAGTATTAAATTCTTACATTAGAACACAAGAAAGCCCTCAAATCCTCCAGCTAAGGTTACGCTATAAGAAACTATGAGTTTAAAGAAAAAAAAAAAGAAAAGAAACTATGAGTTTCTTACTGCTTACTCATCCAAAATGATGAGTAAAATAAACCCCAAGTAAGCAGAAGGTAGGAAATAACAAAGATAAGAGCAGGAATCAATGAAATCGCAAAAGGAAAACAGTAGAGAGAAATCAGTGAAACCAAATGCTGATTTTTGGGGGAAAAAAAAAAAAAAGAAACAAATAAATGTCTAGCCATATTATAAATAATACAATGCACACAAATTAGACAACTTAGATAAAATGAACCAGTTCCTTGAAAGCCACAAACTACCGGCCACCTACCCAAGAAGAAAGAGGTAAATGCATAATCTTAAATTTTAAAGAATTTTAATTTGTACTTTAAAACATTCCATTAAAGAAAACCCCAACCCACATGACTTCACTGGTAAGTACTGTGAACAAGTTGAAGTGATATTGCCATGTAGCAATTCAACAGATAGGTTTTTTGTTTTGTTTTGTTTTGTTTTGTTTTGTTTTTAAAGATATTTCTTTATTTATTCCACAGAGATCACAAGTAGGCAGAGAGGCAGGCAGGAAGCAGGCTCCCCGCTGTGCGGAGAGCCAGATTCGAGACTCAGTCCCAGGACCCTGAAATTACGTCCTGAGCCGAAGGTGGAGGATTAACCCACTGAGCCACCCAGGCGCCCCATCAACAGATAGGTTTTATGACTCATGTGATTTGCTAGCTTTGCAATTATGATTCTTAGTGGACATTTTTAATGGTTAGGAATTCACACTCCAAGTTTTGCACATAAAATGAGACTATTCTACCAAACATTTGAAGAAGAAATAACATCAGTTCTACATGATATTTAGAAAAGAAAAAGGCAGGGAACATTCTGAACTCATTTTGTGAGCACAAAAAAAAAAAAAAAAAGCCCTCGTGAACATAAGACACCAAAATCCTCAACAAAATGTTAACAGATTGAGTCCATATATATATATATAATATATATATTTTTTATATAAATATAAAATAACCAAGTACGGTTTCTAGATGCCAAAACTAATTAAATATTTGAAAATCGATATGATTTATCATATTAACAGAATAGGAGAAGAAAACCATCGATCTTATCAGTTGATGCAGAAGAAGAATTTAATAAAATTCAATATTCCTTCGTGATAAGAAAAAACAAACTTGGAATAGAAGGGACTTCTTTAAGCGGATAAAGAGTTATCTGTAGAGGGATGACTGGGTGGCTCAGTCAGTTAAGCATTTGCCTTTGGCTCAGTTCATGATCGCAGGGTTCTGGGATTGAGCCCTGCACCGGGGGTGGGGTGGCTGGTTCTTGCTCAGCAGGGAGCCGCCTTCTCTCCCTCCCTCTGCCTGCCACTCTCCTTGCTTGTGCTCTCTCCCCCTCTCTCTGACAAATAAAATCTTAAAAAAAAAAAAAAAATCTGTAGAAACCCACAGCTAACATCATCTTCAATGATGAAAGATTGAATGCTTTTGCTCAAATATCAGAAACAAGGCCAGGACGTCCACCCCACCATTCCTATTCAACATGACACTGGAAATCCCCCAATGCCATAAGGCAAGAAGAATATAAGGCATACAGATTGAAATGGAAGAGATACAACTGGTCATAAATAAGATGGTTTCTATGTAGAAAATCCCAAGGAATCTACAATAACGTTCTTAGAACAAATAAGTGAGTTTAGCATGGTTGCAGAATATAAGGGAAATAGGGGCGCCTGGGTGGCTCAGTGGGTTAAGCCTCTGCCTTCGGCTCAGGTCATGGTCTCAGGGTCCTGGGATCGAGCCCCGCATCGGGCTCTCTGCTCAGCGGGGAGCCTGCTTCCCTTCCTCTCTCTCTCTGCCTGCCTCTCTGCGTACTTGTGATCTCTCTCTGTCAAATAAATAAAATCTTTAAAAAAAAAAAAAAGAATATAAGAGAAATAATGAAAAATCAATCATATTTCTATATATTAGCAGTGAACAATTAGAAACAAGCTAGAAAAACAATACCATTTATAATAGCTCCAAATTAGAAGCTTAGGTATAAATCCGACAAAATATTCATGGGCTCTGCATGCTGAAAACTACCAAATGCTGCTGAAAGAAATCAAGGAAGACCTGAATCAGTGGAGAGAGAACTGCGTTTATGAGTTAGAATAGTAATGTGTCAATTCTCCACAAATTGATTTGTAAAATTAATGCAATTCAAGGATTTTCTTGTGGACATAGATGTGCCAATTCTGAAATTTACACAGAAAAGCAGAGGAACTAGAATGGGACCATTTTTGCAAAAGAAGAATGTGGGCAGAATCATACCTCCCAATTTTAACTTGTGCTGTAAAGCTCTGCTGAACTCAAGACCGTGGTTATGGAGGAGAGACAGACATACAAGTCAGTTAAACAGTAGAGAGAATCCAGAAATAGACCCACACAAATATTTTCAGTCGATTTTTTGAGAATTGCAAAGACAGTTCAGCGGACGAAGAACAGTCTTTTAAGTATATGGTGGTCTAACAACTGGACATCTATATGCAGATATAAAAACTTCAGTACCTTCCACCTGGCATAAAGGCTGTAACTCAAAATGGATCGTAGATCTAAATGTAAAACCTAAAAGTATAAAACTTCTAAAGAAAACAGAAGAAAATCTTTATGATCTTGGATTACGTAAAATGTTTACATGTAACTCCAAAAGCACAACCCATGAAAGAAAATATGGGTAAATTGGACTTCATAAAAACTGAAAGCTTTTGCTCTGCAAAGGCTACAGTTAAGAAAGAATGAAAAGACAGTCCACAGACTGGGAGAAAATATTAGGAAATCACGTGTCTAACAGAAGACTTGGGTCCAGAATATTTATACCTAAATATATAAATCTCAACAGTAAGAAAACAAACAACCCAGTACAAACTGGGCAAAGACCATATTCAGATGCCAGATAAGCACATGAAGTTGAGATGCTCAGCATCATTGGCCATTAAGGGAAATGCAGATTAAAAGCACAGGACACCACTATACACCTATTAGAATGACTAAAATTTTAAAACCTGCCAAAGAAACTGACAACATGAGTGGGAAGATGTGAAGCAACTGTAACTCTTATATTGCTGGCTGCGAAACAAAATGATAGAGCTACTGTGCCAAAAAGTCTAGCAGTTTCTTACCAAGTTACATACACATTTACCTAGTACCTACATAACCTAACATTCCCATTCCTGGGTATTTATCCCAGAGAAATAAAGACTGATGTTACACAAAAACCTATATTTGAATGTTTATAATGGCTTTTTATTCATTGGCATGTGATCAGTGTCCTCCAGAAGCTAGGTTGGGACTGGCTCTGTAAGCCTTGTAGGAGAAGGAAGCCCCACCCAGATCTGCCAAGACCACCTGCCCCAGCCTTAATGGTTTTATGCTAATTGATTAATTTGAGGGTAAGCCACCAAAGCCCAAGGGTGCTCCTCCATCCCACATGGAGAGCTGACAAAAGCCCACTCTGCTCATTTAGGCTCCCTAGAAGTTTTCTCCATGACTAAAGATCATCAATTACACTGGGAATGAAATGAAGTGTAGGATTAGCGTGAGCACAGCCTTTTTGCTTAGTGATGTCTGGACCTTTGTGCCCGAAGAAAATAGGAAGATGATTCTTGCTACTAGCCAGGTCTTAGGCAGTTCGTAGTCAGTCTGACAACTTCTGCCCCTTCCCCAAATAATTCATAGTTATGAGAAACTACTGATGGCAAGACATAAATTAAGAAAATTATGGTAGTGTTCCTTTATCGATCTTACCAGTATTTATATAAACAAAACTCTGGCTTGATTTCTGTTTCAGATCACAAAAATGGACAGCACTTTATAATACCTCAAATGGCAGACAGGTAAGGCCACTGAAATACCAATCAGTTTTATCTGTCACTATTATTTCCTTGGTTGTATAGTGTTTAAGTGTATTATACTTTGTATTTAACAAAGCCCATACATTTTTCTCTTTTACGGCTATACAATTTGGAAATAAGACGGCTGTAAGTAAACCACCATGTAAAACTTAAGTTTGAAAGAGTACAAGTAACAGACATACTAGTAAAATTGGTGTTAGGGATATTGTCACAGTTTTAGCTAGTTGTAACGGTATATCGTGTCGATAGGTTGTATCACAGACTATTTCTATATTATAAGAGAGGATATTCTTTGTCTATAACAGGGATTGGCAAATTTTTTAAGGGCTAGATAGTAAATATTTTAGGCTTTGTGGGCCACACAGCCTCTGTCACAACTACTCAGCTCTGCCAGTTGTAGACGAAAGCATCTGTGGACATTAGGTAAATGAAGGGCAAGTCAGTTGCAAGAAAATTCTCTTTCTGGACACTGAAATGTGAGTGCCATATAATTTTTCCTGTGTTAGGAAATATTTTTCTTTTGCTTTGGGGTTTTTTCCCCCAAACCACTTAAAAATGTAAAAACCGTGCATAGCTCATGGGCTGAACAAAGAAAGGAGCCATAATCTGCCAACCCCTGGTCTGTGAGGTTAGCAAAGTTCACAGCTGCAGGAATGAACTTGAAATCCTTATTTATCCAATTACCTTTGCACAAACACTGTCAAGAGTTTATGAAACAGTTAGCTGTTATTCCACATGTAATCTTGCCATTCTGCTTTTTCACATTCTGCCCTTTTCATATTTCCTTCTGTCATGCTTTTTTTTTTTTTTTTTTAAAGATTTTATTTATTTATTTGACAGAGAGAGATCACAGTAGACAGAGAGGCAGGCAGAGAGAGAGAGAGGGAAGCAGGCTCCCTGCTGAGCAGAGAGCCCGATGCGGGACTCGATCCCAGGACCCCGAGATCATGACCTGAGCCGAAGGCAGCGGCTTAACCCACTGAGCCACCCAGGCGCCCCTGTCATGCTTTTTTTTAATACTTCAGGAATTGAGGCTTCTCACATAAAGGGCCTGGGGACGAACCATCAGTAGTTTTTGTCTACTAGTTATTCAGTGATTATCTTTATCTGTACCATGTTGCGTGACTTTGATTTTTCTAAAAGGAGTTACAAATTCTTACGCTCAAAAGTTTTCTCGCTAACTCTAATGGGCTATAGAATTTTTGTTTCTGACCGTGTCCCTGAACTGTTAATTAATGTCTTGATGCCTTGCCTATCTTAAGGTTCTATAGAACTCATAAAAATGTTTTTTATTTATTTGCTTATTCTGTACATTTTCTTAGCAGCCTGGATTTGTCTGAATTGGCAAAAGCTGCTAAGAAGAAACTTCAATCCGTGAGTATCTCTGTTTCCTAGTGAAGTTCAGTGTGGGAAACCATGCATCCTGCTGATACCTGTCCTCAGCCCATTACCTGCTACAACAGATGACTTTGTTTCCTCCTCTGGGATGTTATAAAATCCGAAGCAGAGCATTAAGTACTTAGAGAAGAGACAGAAGTACTCTTAAGTTTAGTAGATCTGATTTATCGGCTCTGCATCAGGTAATGGCGTTTTTCTCTGTCATTCTGAAAGCGAAGACTGTGCCTTTGATGTTAGGGAGTTGTTTCTCCTGAGAGTTCCCTAGTTTCTCTCAAGAGTAGGACACACTTTTAGGGATGCCTTCCGGTAGCCACCTAGGATGCTAGGGAAAGGCAGGAGCTGACGTTGGAGTTGTGAGTGCCGCATATCCACTTGGCCGCCATTTGGGATTGGGCCACCATCATCACTGTCTTGCAGAGCCCACGTTGTTCAGCAGAGCTTTTTAAGTGTTTGTTTTCAAGGGCTGGTGGTCCTTCCCCAGGTGCATACTCAGAGCTTGCCCAGTTCTGCAGGGCCGTGCCTCCCTTCCGTCTGCGTCCCTCTTCCCCGCCTGCCCATCTCAGCCTCAGTCAGGGGCCCAACAGATCAGCTTCTCTGGGCAGCTTCCTCTTAGTTTGATCGCCACAGATGAGGCCTCACCAGGGTGCTTCCCCACCGCCTCAAGCACCAGATTGCCTGCCTTGGGCTGTTCTCATGCTCTCTGGATCAGAACCAAGATTCTTAACTTCTTGTCATGACCTTGAAGGGCGTCATCCAGTGCCCACCATTCAGTTTTTGCCCTGGTTTCCATCTGGTTCCTCCTGCATGTGTGCACGTGTGTACACGTGTGTGAATGTATTTATCCCATTGGGTTAACACTCTCCGAGACCACCTTCAGATCCTCTTTGGGAATCTTCTCTTTCTGCAGTGTTCTGCTTTCCGGGCTTCCAGCCTTTTGTCATTCAAGTAGCTGAAATCTGACCACCTAGTGTAGAAGGGAGTTTCCCCAAGCCTGACTCTGAAATTGCCTCTCCCCTAATGTATGACTTTCTCTTTGTTCCTCTTTTCACAGAAGACCCTTTACTAACACTTCATATATTAAGTACTAAATATTACATAAAATGAATTTATCACTACTAGTATTTAATTGTGTTATGAAATAAATGTATTTTATGCAATTTGGTGTCTCTGTGTTCTGTATCTGTGGTTATGTGTGTCTGTTTTACCACGTTTCTTAAATTTAGGAGGTCATATGATAGGATGATTAAGATGACAAGCTTTGGAATCAGATAGCACTAAATAGTCTCATTTCCTTTTAATTAGAGTATATAAGCCAATTTTTATTTTAAATAATAAAAACATTATTGGTATTACTCCAGCTCCCTTTGAATGACCAACATTTGCTATGCTGAGAGAGCTGCACAAAAGTTGGGGTTACGTCGGTCATATCTCCAACATGTGGCAGGCGCTAGATAAATATGTGGAACAAAGTTGAGTATAGCTCTCAAGAACTCGGGCTCTGGCTCAGACTGGTCGGGTACAGAGCTCATCTCTGACAAGCTCCTTAACTTGTCTGTGTCTTGGCATCCTCTCCTGGAAAGGGAGCTAATGATCAATAGCGGCTGCAGATTAAAATGCTCCGTGAGGATGGACTGCTGTTATTACTTGTTGACCCCACCCCGTGGTCTCCCCCTCATGGGGGACAGCTGGACCAGTGCCACTGCAGTGTTTATTCTAAAATATCTCCCTCTCCCCAGCTGAGAGAAATAAAAGACTAATATATTTCTTAAATTAGTAAGTGTTAACATTGGAGAGACTTAAACTTGGATCTTGCGTCTATCACTTGCTGGCTTTGTGACTTCAAGCAAGCTCCTAACTTCTGTGCTTCAGTCTCCTTGTCTGTAAAGTAGGATAATAGTAGTTCCTGTCTTCATAGAGGTGTCGTGAGTATAAATGTGATGATAGTAGCACAGTGCCTGGGATGTAAGCCTTCAGTCTTGTTGTAGTTACTGAGTAATAATAACCTTAGCTTGTAGCCACTTATTGGGAAGAGACTGGATATTTAAGAGGCAAGTTCAAGTTCCCAGTCCCTCATTACTTTATTCAGCAAAAGGCTCTCAGAGTTTATTTTCAACTATAAATATAAATTCAGCACACAAGAGAAAATGCGGGAAATGGACAGGGGGAATCATCTTCATTCACATTATTCCTAATGGACTCAGGCTCAATATTTTGATATATTCTGATTCTTATTTTATGTGCATGTCATTTTTTTTAATGGAAGCTTAATCTTAATTATAGGATTGTATATCCTGCTTCTCTCACCCAACAGTCTACCAATTTTAACAAGCTCCCATGAGGTCTGTTTAGCCAGCCTTTTATTTATTTTTTTTTAAAGATTTTATTTATTTATTTATTTGACAGGCAGAGATCACAAGTAGGCAGAGAGGCAGGCAGAGAGAGAGAGAGGAAAGGAAGCAGGCTCCCTGCTGAGCAGAGAGCCCAATGCGGGGCTCGATCCCAGGACCCTGAGATCATGACCTGAGCCGAAGGCAGCGGCTTAACCCACTGAGCCACCCAGGCGCCCTAGCCAGCCTTTTAAATTGCCACATAAAATACCTTCTGGTCACTGTGTGACTGGATATTTACTGGGCCCCATCTCAGGGCCAGATACTGTGGGTGGACATAAGGAGCACAGTAAGGAATAAGATTCATTGTCAACTAAAAAGTGACAGCCACCAACCATCAGGATGTGTTTTATAAGGAAAACAGTGCAGAGAGCTGGAGCCATCCTGGTGGAGGCTTAGCCTCAACTGGGCTGAGGAAGACCCAGCTGTCCTTCCCATCCCAGTGGCTGCCAGCTGGCATGGAGACTGTTCTTTTGGCTGACACTGCACAGCACGCTGATTAGACAGGCTGCCCTTTGTGGGGGGTGCTGAGTACTTTCCGGGATTGGAGGCCTCCTTCCTGAAGAATATAGCAAAGTGGCTTACTGAAGACTGGATGATGGTTTCTGCAGTGGCATGTTTTACATTCTGAAAATGGCATGTTTTGGCATCTCTGTCCCACCATGGATTTAGGATCCTTTCTATCTGTGGGCACCGACAAATGCTCAAGAGCAAAAGAGGGGGCTTTAAAGGGTGATGTCACGCGGAGAGTCGAGAACTGGACCCTGCATTTCAGATGACTTTGCCCTCCTTTATAGCACACCCCTGTCTGCTTGTCACAAAGGAGTGAGGCTGCTGTGGGAGGCAGATATTTCTAGAGGATCTGTACTATTCTGGAAATGTTACTGTCTGTTTGACAGTGGGTATTTACTAAGCACTGGCTTTGGATAAGACATTGGAGATTAAAGGGTGAATAAGTCACAGTGCCTACTCATTCTCCCAGCATTAATCCTTGTCCCTTGTGTTCCTGGTATTTTTTTTTTCACTTGCAGCTAAGTAATCATTTGTTTGAAGAACTTGCCATGGATGTGTACGATGAAGTTGACAGGCGAGAGACCGATGCAGGTGACTGAAAGCGTGGCTTTCTCTTACAAGCTTCTGTTGTTGGTGGGCAGTACTTCTACTGTCCTGTTGTTGCATGTTGTCGACATTTACTTTTGTGTATGTTGGTTTTGGAGTGTGCTTCCCCTAGTTTCCCTCGTGACGCCCGAGCTGCGGCTCTCAGAGAAGCAGTGGCACACTTGTGGTGATAAGATTCTGTCTCTGGCTCTTTCCTCTGGCTAGTCTGGCTTGCCACGCAAAACCACAGCACCCTGGTAACCGAGACAACTGTCGTCCCCTTCCTTCCGGTCAATCCCGAGTACTCTTCAACACGGAACCAGGCAAGTGGCCGAGTCTGAGAAGTAACCAGTGGTGGTATTTTGGGAAGGGCTGATATGGTATTTAATTTTCTGAGGCCAGGTATTTTAAATGTTTTGATTGATTAAAGTTAATTTCTTTTACACACACGCACACATATACACAACTCAAGAAATCGGTAAGAAAAGCAATAAATGTAAATCAAAGACTAGAAAAGAATGTAAAATAATTCACAGAAGAAATAATAAATGGCTTACAAATGTGAAGAAATGTTTAGCCTAACTAGTAATTCAAGAAAGCAACCTAAAGGCATTCATTAAAATTTCATCAATCAACTACTCCAGGCTGGTAAGGATATAGGAAAATGGGCTTTCTTACACTACAGATAAGAGTTTCCATTGCTGTAGACTTCAGAAAAGTGATTTGTTAACTGATTTTAGAAGTCTCAAAATTAAGTCCATCCTTTCCCATACATAATCCTTATTTGGGAATGTATGCTTGTAAAATAAAAATAACAAAGATTTATGCACAGTGATTTTCATCAAAGCACTGTATAAAATAGTAGAGCATTAAAAACAGCCTAAGCCTCTGTCAGGAGGAGAAAGGTTGAGTAAATTGGGAAAGACTTTTAATTTTTATTGGTTAACGGCTATATATAATGATGGAGTTCCAGCATCTAGGCTATAACTTTATCTTGAAATTTTGAATTTTCTTTCTTTCAAATCAGTATTTCATTACTGGGTCTACTTCAAAACTGCATTGATAATGGGGAAAAAAGCATCAGGTAGAAATATTTTGGTTTTGTTCACAAAAATAAATGCGCACGGTATTATTTAGTTCTCTTGTGTAGATGACTCTGCCCTGTTTGCAAGGAAAATGTTGATGTGTGCCTCCCCTAGACTGCTGTGATACTTTGATCATGCTTGGAAGTCTTTGCTTCAGAGTCTTACTCAAGTCTAACAATGTGATTGGTTTTATGTGAATATCCACGTGTATGTTTTCACATTTGGGAATATTTCCAATTATTTCCTCTCTCAGGGCAGACAGAAACTTGCTCGGTTTAACGCCCATGAGTTTGCCACACTGGTCATCGACATTCTCAGTGACGCCAAGAGGAGACAGCAAGGCAGTCCTCTTTCTGGTTCAAAAGGTAACTGTTTCAAGCTGCTAAAATTTGATTCTTTGGCCTTCTAAACTCGACACAGATATTAAATTTAGAATTATAAATTAACTAAAACAATTATCATCAAAAGTTTACCCTTTTGAGCCCTGATGAATTATAAATATTTCAGTGTTGTTAACTGCTATTCAAATTTGTCCAATATGTTTTTTCCTCTTAGATCACTTATCTTCCCTATAAAATTGCATCCTGAAATTAACCTAAAAGTCTGACTTAGGTCTTATTAAAGGGCAGAAGAAAAATCAGCCTTCTTGATTGATATTTCAGCCCACCTGTTATTGGTTACAAACAGAATTGAGCTCTAAATAATAAAATTTATTACTTTAAACTTTAGATGTCTATGGTAAGAATTATTGTGGTTTAAACTTGTAGAGAGCACCGAGCCCTATTTCCAAGATGCCCTACTGAGTCTAGCTTAGTAGCTCCACGTCCCAGCTCTGTGCTTAAGAACACACTCTTCTCCATCTCTATTTCTATATACTTCTTGGTTTATTTCTAATTATAGAAGTAATACATTTTTAATTATAAAACATTTATTTTTTTTTTTTTTTAAAGATTTTATTTATTTATTTGTTAGAGAAAGAGAGAGAGAGCATGAGCACAGGCAGACAGAGTGGTAGGCAGAGGCAGAGGGAGAAGCAGGCTCCCCGCTGAGCAAGGAGCCCGATGTGGGACTCGATCCCAGGACGCCGGGACCATGACCCGAGCCGAAGGCAGCCGCTTAACCAACTGAGCCACCCAGGCGTCCCTAATTATAAAACATTTAAACAGAAGAAATACATACCATAAAAATTAAGGTTTCAGTTCATTAACTGACATTAGTTTGTTTTTGATTTTACTGGCTCAACCAGGAATAAGCAAATTCTAAGAAAATCTAAATTTTGGTGAAGGTGCAGTGATACATAAATTTGAAATCTCAAAATGTATATACTCTTTGATTTGGTATTACTATTTCTGTTTATTTGAGGGAAAATAATCAGAGATGTTGTGAGAATATGTAATACTTTTTTGAAAACATTAGAAACAAATAATAGAGAGAATCACATATTTGAATAATGCAGACATTTTCCCCCCCAAAGAATATATAATGACACAACATAAAGGAATAGATTAGTCTTTTTTTAAGTATTTAATCCCCATTTTGTAAGGAAAACATTTATACACATACATATGTACAAGTAAATATACTGCATTAAGTACTGTGTAAATACATAATCCTCATTATTTCAGATTGCATATTTGCAAATTCATCTACTAAAACTTATCTGTAACTTCAAAATCAGCACTTTCATGGCAACTTGTGGACATGTGCAGAGAGGCAAAAAAATTGAGTTGCCCAAAACTCACATACCTGGTTAAAATTAAACAAAACATTTGTATGTCTTTTTGGCTCAACTGTCATACTGTTAACAAGTGGCCTTTTTAGGTCTGCTTAGTACCACATTTTACATTTTTGTGCTTTTTGTTGATGATTCTGCTGTTTAAAATGGCCCCCAAGCGTAGTTCCATAGTCCTGTCTGGGGCTCCTTAGCACAAGAAAGCTGTGATGTGCCTTATGGAGAAAATACCTGTGTTAGATAGGTTTCATTCAAATATGGGTTTTAGTGCTCTTGGCTGTGAGTTCACTGTTAATGAATCAGCAGTGTATATTAAAGGTGTCTGAACAGGGACACCTGAGTGGCTCAGTCAGTTGGGCGTCTGACTCGGTTTTGTCTCAGGTCATGATTTTTTTTTAAGGTTTTATTTATTTATTTAACAGAAAGAACATGAACAGAAGCTAGGGGAGCGGCAGAGAGAGGGAAGCAGGCTCCCTGCCAACCAAGGAGCCTGAAGCAGGGCTTGATCCCAGGAACCCTGGGATCGTGATCTGAGCTAAAGGCAGACGCTTAGCCGACTGAGCCACCCAGGCACCCCTTAGGTTGTGATTTCATGGGTTGTGGGATTGAGCTCCATGGGAGGCTCCACACTCAGTATGGAGTTTGCATGAAAGATTCTCTCCCTCTGCCCCTCCCCTACTCATGCTCTGTCACTCTCTATCTCTCAAACAAATAAATAAATGTTTTTTGTTTTGGGGTTTTTTTTTTTTGAAGATTTTATTTATTTATTTGACAGACACAGATCACAAGTAGGCAGAGAGTCAGGCAGAGGGGGAGGGGAAAGCAGGCTCCCTCCTGAGCAGAGAGCCCAATGCGGGGTTCAATCCCAGGACCCTGAGATCATGACCCAAGCCAAAGGCAGAGGCTTAACCCACTGAGCCACCCAGGAGACCCTAAATAAATGTTTTTTAAAAATGTATAATTGGGGCGCCTGGGTTGCTCAATCCTTAAGCATCTGCCTTCAGCTCAGGTCATGATCCAAGGGTCCTGGGATCCAGTCCCACATTGGGCTCCCTGCTCAGTGGGAAGCCTTCTTCTCCCTCTCCCACTTCGTCCGCTTGTGTTCCCTCTCTCACTGTCTCTCTCTGTCAATTAAATAAATAAATAAAATTTTTTAAAAAGATAAAAAATTTAAAAATGAAAATAAAAAATGGTGTGTAAGCAGAAACACACATAACATAAGGTTCCGTATCAATCAGTGACAAAAACATGAGCAAAGGCTGGCAGGAACCTACCCCTGTGTGTCCTCTTGGAACAGTGGTTCAAGATTTGCTAATTCAGTCTTCACACCTTTAGGGACCATATCAACTACAAGTGATGAAATGGACTCTTTATGTATTTAGGAAAAGACCGGAAAGGTATAGACCAAAATAAATCAACAGCTATGATTGATTACCACTAGCTTCAGATTTTCTTTTCTTTCTTTCCTTCTTTTTTTTAAGATTTTATTTATTTATTTATCAGAGAGAGAGGGAGAGAGCGCAAGCAGGAGGAGCAACAGGCAGAGGGAGAAGCAGGCTCCCCACTGAGCAAGGAGCCAGATCCTAGACTCGATCCTAGGACCCTGGGATCGTTACCCAAACCGAAGGCAGATGCTTAACTAACTGGGCCACCCAGGTGTCCCTCAGATTTTCTGTATTGAGTATTACTTCTGTAATTCAGATGATATATCCATCTTAAATATTAATTTGAAAAATTAAAATTCCTGTTGGAAATCAGAGGTCACCTTGAGTTAGTTGCCTCAGAGAAGTTGGAAGAGACTTGGATAATTTGTGAAATCTTTTATTCAAAATGTTTTAGAGCCTATGGAATCATCCCTGCTACCCTGTAGGCCATACCTCCCTGGTGTGCACGTGTGTCTGTCCACTGGGTTGTTCTGTTTTCTCCGTTCTCTCTGGCAGTCAGGACTAAATGCCAGCGAGCCTGTTCTTTGAGCAGCAAGTTTCCAGGCTCCATTTTAACAGTGTCCTTACAGTGACATTACCTTGTAAACAAGACAGTGACAGTTGAATCACGGTTAATTTTATATTAGTTACAACTTTAGTTCCCTGATTTGGAACTACACTCTGTCTCCTGGAATGATGAGAAACTCGGGAACCTGCCTCCTCAGTCTGAGCAGCATTTTCATAAACCACCTAATTAATTTGCCCAGATTTGGTGAGTGACCCAGAGAGACGCTGAAATGCCTCTGTGCAGTTGATGGTAGGCCCTCTGTCTGGTTGATAACTTGCTCTGTGATGTTTACATTAGTGTGACTATAATATTGGGATTTCTATCATTTTCTTTTAGTCTTTAAATGGCTAAACCCAAAACTTCTCCCAGGGGATTTTAGGGAAAAAGTTTTTTTTAAGCCTGAAGAAAAGTTATTTGCTTCTATTGATAGACAATGTGGAGCTTATACTGAAAACAATCAGTAACCAGCACAGTGTTGAGAGTCAAGACAATGACCAGCCAGACTATGACAGTGTGGCCTCAGATGAAGACACAGATCTGGAAGCTACTGCAAGCAAAGCAAACAGGCAGAAGGTGAGGTGACACATAGCACACAGAAAGGGAGACTATGTTTCTTCTTGGAATCTTTCCTCCTGCAAAATCGTCTTATTTGTAAACCACTGTGAAAAGTGCTCTGGAGGTAAAGTTGGGTTTACTTCTAGCTTGGGCCAGCAAGGTAAATCGTTTTAAAATAGGGGGTCCTGTGTCCCTAAGTTGATTGCTGAATCACAGTCCTACCTCGGTTGTGATTTGTAAAACTTGTGAGGAGGGGCTGATGTGTTTTATTCCCTCAGCAAATGTTTGTCAAGTAACTTCTCTGGATCATCTCCCAAATGAGGCCCAGTCCCTTTCCTGTGAGGCCGCCCCCTGCCGTTAGGAGAGAGAACTGCAGGCAGTGGTACAAAGTGATACATGTCATAAGAAACAAATGGAAGCCAGGGGTAGGGGTGTGAGAGGACACTCAGCTTGTTGGCAAGGACAAGTGTTCGGGGGCACTGTGTAAGTGTCTTGTGAACATGTGCCTTAAAGGATGCATGGGATTAGGTATGTGGGGAGGCAGGGGAGGGTGATGTAGGCAGAGAGAAGGAAGGAGGATGTCTTGCAGAACCTGCTCTTGGTAGAGACAGCCTAAAAGGACTGGGACACACAACTGTAGCAGAGGGCAGGGGTCACACCCATGGAGGAACATGACCTCAGATGGAAGAGTCCCCACCTTGGCAGGCAGTGTAGAGCCCAGGAAACTCTTAGGCAGGGCAAGGGGGCGATAGTCAGCAATTTGGGTTGCTCTTTTTGGGGAGGATGGTTCTTGGTAGGTCAGAGAGCAAAGGAAGGAAACCCCATTGGGGTACTGTTGAAGAGGCCACCGTGGAGCCCATGCTGAGAGGGTCCAGATGGAAGGGAAGTCACAGTAGCCAAGGGAGTGTGGACCCAAGGAGAAGGCAGCAGAGGCCTGCTGGTCCACCTGCTGCTGAGTCCCCAAGACCTTACCAGATCTCGCCCCAGAGGAGCTCAGCAAACGTTTGAGAATGGACAAACACAGATAAACAGGTCTCAGCAATAAGTTTGAATGTTTGAAGCGGGGACGTAGACCTACAGAAGATGTGTCCAGAGCTGTCCAGCTCACACGACTGCAAGAAGGGTAGTGCCATCGGTAGATACAGGGAATGCAGAGGGGACAGCAAGAGTCAATTGTCCCATCTGATACGCCCCTGCCCAGCGTCCCCAGAAGCACCAGATTGAGACCAAAAGCCAGAGTCATGATGGGATCCTACCAGCTGGCATCCTCTGCCTTGCACACCTGCTCCCTCTGGCTAAGCTCTGCTGCTGGCTAGAACATTCCTCCAGACAGCCACTGGACTGATGTCCTTCCAGCTGTTACTCATATCTCACCTACCCAAAGGCTTATCACACCTGTCTCATTAAAAGGCACCCACCTTCACCCCTAATGTCTCCCCAGTCCCTCACCTTGCTCCATTTTCTCTGTTTTCCACAGCACTTGTCATCTGCTGTCATACTAGATAGTCACTTATTTTTATTTTGTCCCTTTCCCACTCTGCTGGGGTATAAACACCATGGAAGCAGTAATATTTGTCTATTTTCTTTTTTTATATATCCCAGGTCCCTAGAATACTGCCTGATGCTCAATACAAATAGGTTGGAATGAAGGAATTACTGAAAGAATGTATTGAAAAAAAGGAAAAAGGAATGAGCAAGAGAAAGGCAGGCAGGCAATACAAGACAGATGCTCCGAGAGTCCTCATCAGACTAGATTTGTGGCCACACTTCCTGTTCTGTTAGAAAATACTGACTCTGATATTTTTCAGATATTATAGTAACCCTACCTTTATGTTTTATTTTTGTGTTCCTCCCAGAAGCCTTGATTTGCTTTGATTAACTTTGCAGTCCAGCTGGCATGGTCAGAATTTAAAATTCTTTAGCTATGAGTCTTGCATGTTATCGTCATCTCAGATTGTGAACATTTTCCCCAATTTATTTTTAGAGCCTAGATTCAGATTTATCAGATGGACCAGTCACTGTGCAGGAATTTATGGAGGTCAAAAACGCTCTAGTGGCTTCTGAGGCCAAGATACAACAGCTAATGAAGGTGAATAACAACTTGAGTGACGAGCTGAGAATTATGCAGAAAAAGGTAACATGTTAATAAATGCCAGGATGATTGACTCTTTAACCCCGTAGTATAAGGAAGAATCCCAGGCACAATGCTGGTGGGCAGAGGGAAGAAAAGCAGTTATTATAACAGACCTAAAAACCTTTGGGCCAAGCTTTTTGGAAGCAGTATGTATTTGGATATTTCAGATGAAGTTTTTTGATTTTTGATTAGAAATAAGTCGAGAGTGAGTTTCCCAGGCACTTGAACCTAGTTGCGGCCACCCTTGCACTGCTCCGTGCTTCCTGGGAATGTGGATGCCCCTCATGGATGCATGCCATTCTATTGCTCATTCTAAAGAACCACACCATGAAGACAGAGCAGGCAGAAACCCTTCTCAGCGCTCCGTGCAGAGGGTACCATCCCTGCTCACTCATATTCTCTTGTTACCCACCCAGCTCTGGCAGCTTTGTCCCCACATCCCCAGTACTTACTGATTTAGGATATCCTCAGAGCCTAGAGCAGGGCCTGCCATGGGGTAGGGACTCCATAAATATAAGAAAACATTTTCGTTTGCACTGGCGAGAGCTGTACACTCGTAAGAGACAATCCCAATTGCCTGGCATGTTCTCGTTCACTGCCTTTTGGGAGAGTCAGAAATACATGAATATATTAGCCCCTAAAAGGAGCGTGGCTACTAGTAGCAGGGAGTATGCTTAAAGGGGGATTATGTGTGCAACTCTTTATGAGAAGGCTGTCCCTGTCAGATTTTGTGCACTTCCCTTAAATAGAAACAAAACAAAGTATGTATCTGTGTCTTAATTCTGCCATTTGAAGAGTAATGTTTCAGAATCATTATCAGGAACAGAGGACAAGGTGCACTCCCTGTGTGGCTGGGCCTTCCCAGTCATGTCCCCTAAAGGAAGCCTGAGGAACTAGAAGAAGGAGGTCTGTCCCCTCTGCCTGTCAGGGAAGGACACTGCAGTACACTCTCGCTTGGGGCTTGGTCTAGGATTCTTTTGGTGTGGAGTTCTAGATTTTTTCTTTTTTTTTTTTAGATAAATGGCCCCAAACCTGTAATACTGCCTGAAGATCAACCAGATTTTAATTCACCCTTTGTTCTGGGCCGGCCTGGCCCTATCAAGGGCTGGTGTGCAACTGTGAACAGGGTAGACCAAGAGCCCTTCTGCTGTATCATACAGGGCTTGCACTTCTGTCTTTTCTGAAATCTCTTTTGTTTAATGAATTACAGCTTGTCCCATTAATTGAACTAATAATTTTTGTTGAGGTGACTTTTTCTGAAACATGCTGACTTTGCCAGTGTAAGTCTGCTAACCATCACTTTTTTTTTTCTTTTTTTGGGGGGGGGCTATAATGCTCCTTTAGTATTTGTAGAAATTGCCAGAGATAACCTCATATCTCTGAAAGCAAATGGCTTGAGCCTTAAGAAATGCAAAGTGAAATCATTTGCCATTGCTCATGGATTATCTCCTCAATTCTTAGAAATGCTTTTGATTTCTGGAGCTATTGAATTACCTGTAGCTTCTCATTTCCTGTTACACTCCTTCCAAACAAACATGTATAGTCTGATTCTTACTAAGATAGCATCAATCAAGTTTATTCTAGGACATCTCTCAAATACCGAGGACTAAAATTTTTTAAAATCAAGACAAGGAACTTGTGCTCTCAAATACATTCAAGTAAAATCCACCCTGGATATTCTAGAGGCATGACAAGTGTTAAGTTGAAGTTTCAGATTTCAAGGCATTCATTTTTGGATGACAAGGCATTATCTAAAAAACTCTTAAGAGAAGGTTTTTACATAGACAGACAGGCACATGACCAGACATACTGGTCATTCATGGAGGGGCATGTGCGGTTCTGCTCCTCACTTTCTGGACTGTGTCCATTTCCCTTTAGGACATGGGCTCACTAATAAATAGTTTGACAGGCACCTTCTGCTTGTCTCTATCCTGGAATGTAGGAATTTTCAGTGGCTGCTTGTCACTTTGCAGCTGTTCTTTCATTAGGAAATGAGTTGCACATAGAAGTTATACCCCATAAGCCTTTGTGGTGTAGAAGCACTCTATCATTCCTTAGTGGATCATCCTTGGCAAAAACAGAAGTGAGGGTATTTCTGTGGCAGAGGCAATATAAACCAGACTGTCCTCAAAATTTGGCACTATTACTGTAAAGTATGTAGAATTTGCTTATTTTGCAAAGATGTGTTGGTTTTATTTCAAAGTTAGGTAAAAGTTTTTGTATCTATATAGTTGACAAAGTAGCATGATTTGTATCTGATCTTTCATATTTAACAGTTGCTTGGAAAAGATGCTAATTAATGAAGAGGAGCAGCCACTATTGGTGTATAATTCACAGATCGGTGCTTTCTAAATAAAAATTGAAAGTAACTCCTAACACTGAATGGGTTTGCTATTGAAAAAGTAATGATCTTCTGGTGCAAATACGTTTGCTTGCGGACTTAAGCCTTGGCCCCGGTGGGGAATTTGGTCAGAGTTTACAGTCTCTGTCTAAGAGTAGACAGCTGAACTTACACCACACCCAGCTTATAAAATGTCTTGGAAGATGAAGGAGCACCAGAGGGGAAGGACACTGTGCAGACGGGACTCAGTTAATTGTGTTTCAAATGCCAGACGCTAAGAAGTAACAGGATTCCTTGCTGATCCCTTAACTCTAACTCATCAAACACCATGAAGCAGCCTGCATGTGAGGAATGGAAGGAGCAATCAGGGTCTCCAAGTGACAGCCTCTAACTAAAATAGGGTGGTGCCAGGCAGATTAGAATAATTAAAGCTGACACCGCCAAGGTCGCATTTTTGGGTGACAAAGCCAAAGGAGAGAGGCCAAATATTCCGGCCCTGGCTGAAAGCTGATGGATCACCAGAGGGAAGCAAGCGTGCTACGTGGAGCATTCAGACGAAGCTGTTAACGTAGTTTGATAGGCCTCCAGTTTTCTTCGTGATATGTTAATATAGCAAACGTACCATGATTCGGTTCCCTCTCTTTTTTAAGAAATTCTAAATTGTTTGGAATATCAAGAGTATTCTGTAATAAAAATTTGTTGATCATAATTTTTCTTGTTGGCTTTTTGGGAAGCAATAGCCCATCTGATTTTTCGTAAGCTGAACTTCACTGTCTTTCTTGCTTTGCAAAGCAACTCCGGTTATCTTTGTGCTGCTTCCATGGTGTCTGCTGGCATTTTTGGCATTTGCAAATTGCTCAGGGCTCATTTGAAAAGCAGCTTACCTAAATCTTCATGATCTCAAGCTCTTGCTTGAAACAACCTTAGAAGAATCCAGAGTCTGGCTTGCCTGCAAACATTTCCCAGGCCCACCATGACCAGTTTTTAAGTGGTTAGACATTTTGTTTTTAAAAAGTCCAAACTGTAACTTTTCTGCAATGAGAAATCAAGCCTGTTTAATTTGCTTGAGTGATAAAGTGAGTTGATTGTGTGTCACTCATTCTAGGAGAGTGAGCTCTTGTTTGTAGTTGCCTGTAACTTTCAACCCAGCTAGCTGTTACTGTTCTTACTGTTTAAAGCTGGTAGTTGTATGCGTTTACTTGGTGTTTGCTTTTTCTGCTTGCTATAGAAAAACACCGTCCCACTGCCAAACATTTCTTTCAGCTTCAAACACTCCAGAGTGAAAATTCGAACCTCAGGAAACAGGCCACAACCAATATTTATCAGGTGCAAACTGGTTCTGAGTACACAGACACTTCGAACCACTCTTCCTTAAAGCGACGTCCGTCTGCCCGGGGCAGTAGGCCCATGTCCATGTACGAGACGGGATCAGGTCAGAAACCATATCTCCCAATGGGAGAAGTGAACCACCCCGAAGAGAGCAGGACGAGACTCCAGCCTTTCCCCGCGCACGTAAGTAACACCACCGGCGCTTACGCTCTTCACTCTCTGTCCAGCCTGACTCCTGCATTCCCTCTTCTGAACCTGCAGATCCCTGTGTTTCTGCTTTGCCAAATTGGGCTAGGAGAGTTCTCCTTGTGTTTGCTGTATTAACATGTCAACAGATGCTCATTATACTCCCGCAAGCAGACAGGGCCATTGGCTGAAAGTTTTCCAGCAAGGTTCAGGTTCTGGTTCCTGTGCAGCACTGCAACCCCGCCCCCCAACTTTTCTCCCTCATATCCATATCTTTCCCAGCCAGCCAGTACTATAACTTCTTTTGTAACAAACTTTCTTCCCCATTTCTGAAACCGAAAACAAATGGTAAAGGTCACCAGCAAAAGGAAGTGCCATCTTCTTTGATGTAGACAGATAGGTGCCCCTCTGTGAAATGGAGCCCTTAGAACTCAGCGTGCCTTCTCTGCTCCCTTCCAGCGGGGCAGGTGGTGTGTGTGGCCTGGACGTGCAGGGTAGGTCTGGAAGCCTCCGTGCCTCCTCAGCCTCTTGGCGTGTGGTCAGCCTGCCTGCTTAGCTTCTGCATCCCCCTCCTCCCCTTCATGGAGAAAATGTTGCTGTGTCATTTCATAAAAGGGAAATGTAAAACCTCTATACCAATTTTACAAGTATTGTATGCCAAAGATTGCATTCTGCAACAGGCTGCTCTCTAACCACCTTGTTCTACAGTGGAATAAGTATTGTGTTTTGAGGTTTTCAGATGTTACATTTCTTTTGGATTAATTTGTTTTAAAAACCCATGTTTTGACAAAATGTTACAGCCCTTTAGAACTTTGTTTTTTTTTCAGAGAGTAGGATTTATCTTTCATGAACGTGAAAGTTGTTATTTCTTTAGTCAAATTTTATAGGAGTCTCCAAGAAGTTTTGAGTAAATGCAGAGTAAAGGATATGGTCTAGTAAATTAAGCCCTAGTTTAATTTTGTCAGGCTTAAGTGCAATAAAATTTCAGTGTTGTTGTAGTTGGGTGGTGGGGGGGGGTCTCTTTGGCTTTTTAAGTTGTTTGGGCTAAAACATTCTAAGGCAATTGATTTGATACGTTTGGTGTAATGGAAATGCCATCAAACTAACTTAATCTTATTTTTGTATAACTGAAAACAAAAATTAGGAAAAGCAACTTTGTCACTTTTCACAGTATCCTTTTTTATTTTAGAAACATTTAGAATGCAATGTTATTTTATTACTAAAGTTCTGTATCTGTACTGAAGAATAGATTAATAACCTATACCAACTGAACCATTCATATAGTTTCTTATTTCAAGTATATCCTGATTAAAAAACAAATATTTAAAGCTATCCATTAAAAAAAACTGACAAAATGAACAAATTAGGCTAGATGTTATCTTTTCTCTTATGGAAAAGTGGCTTTGTAAATTCCAAGTAATTTCTGGGAGGCATCTCACTAAAGGAGTAAACATTTCTGGGGACCTGTCGTCAGTTAGCATGGCAGTGAGCTTGCTTGTCACAGAAATTTCAGCATTGATCTCACACAGTGAGTTACTTTTTAGGATTCTTTTACTGGGAAGCCCTGGGCTGAAGCCCGGGTAGGTGGTAGGGTTTTTTGTTTGTTTTGTATTTTCCCGAGTGTGTTTTTTTTTCCCCTTCCAGATCGGGAGGAGTGCGCTTGTGACCTCCTCTTCGTCTCTGCCTTCCTTCCCCTCCACACTTTCCTGGTCGAGGGATGAAAGCACCCGAAGGGTTAAGTACACTCTGACCGGTCTGCTCTCTGGAGGAGGGGCAGTGCTCCTGGGCGCTTTGTGCTTCTCCTGGCCCTCCACTAACTGCCCTTCTGTCCTGCATGAGGCAGTACTTCCCCCAGGTGTCTCACCACAGCGGCCCAAGGGCACATGCGTGCGTACACACACACACACACACACACACACACGCACGCACGCATGCATGTCTGTAGGAGGTGGTCTCCCTTTTCTCTAACTCTATGTTGCTCAATTTCACTTAATATTAACAAAGTTTGTAATTTGCCCTATAACATTTATTCAGAACATACTGTCTCTTTAAACAATCAAAATTAGCTGGCTGCTGGTTAAATATCGTAACGGTAATTGTGTCAAATTTGTCAAGAGTAACAGTTATCAGATTAACATTGGTATACTTGGGCTAACTAAAACACTAAGACCTCATGCTTTATTATTTTTTTATTTCTTTGCCTGTTGACATTTTTTATGTCCATGCCATACCTGACATACCCAGTTTTTGCAGTCCCTGTGTCCTGCATCAGAATTGCAACACGGGGCAGCTTTGGAGGTGTAGGCAGCTGTTAGTATGGAGCTCATCACTTACTGAGTTGGTCAAGTCCAGCTTGTAAATCATTCATCATTTGTGTATGTATGATGTATGATTTACATTCCCTATAACAGTATGTGTTCCAGGTAAGCCCCTTTTAGAGTAGCCAGACAATCACATTTATTAAGCATTTCTTCCGTACCCAACCTTTTGGTAAGTCGAAGTATCCTAGGAACTTGAATGACATTCCTGCTCCCAAAGGCATTGTCAGTTTAAAGAATCCTTTCTTGTGGCACCTGGCTGGCTGAGTCGGTTAAGCATCCAACCTTTGATCTCAGGTCTTGATCTCAGGGTTGTGAGTTCAAGCCCTGCACTGGGCTCCAAGCTGAATGTGGAGCCTACTTTAAAAAAAAAAATCCTTTCCTACACAAAGAGTGCATGATGTCAAGCTGGAAAACAGTGGGGAGAGTGTATAGGCTTTGAAGATGTGCATTCAGGTCATGGCACACTTTCTTTAACAGAAGGGTTAACTCGAGAGGAGGGAAGGTGGCTGTGGGTGACGCAGTACCCTCCCAGACAGGGTGGGGTTTGCACTAGGCTTTTTTCCATTCCTTCCACATCAGTAGGAATGACAGAGAGTCTTTCTTCCCCACTACCAGTGCCATATGGCTCATCGAGGCCCTTTCAACACTTGGAGGTAATCTATTAAAAGGAATTCTTGTTGTATTGGTCTTCTGAAGAGTTCAGAAACTAAATTGCAATGTTTTTATTGTAATTTTTCAGTTAACTGAGGGACAGTTAAATAGAAATGAAACAACTCATTTGAAATTTTACTAATAAGGGTCAAGTAAATCTCTTTTGCCCACTGAAATTTGTTTTAAAAAAATTTATCTTCTTTGGTAGTTTTGAAAATCCATACAGAGCTGCTTGCTGAGACAGTTTTATACAAGATTAACAGTTACGTCATTTATACTGATAATTTTTTTTAATTAATTTATTTATTTGACAGATAGAGATCACAAGCAGGCAGAGAGGCAGGCAGAGAGTGGGTTGGAAAGCAGGCTCCCTGCAGATCAGAGAGCCCAATGTAGGGCTCGATCCCAGGACCCTGAGATCATGTCCTGACCTGAAGGCAGAGGCTTAACCCACTGAGCCACCCAGGCACCCCTATACTGATAATCTTGATTGTTCCTGACAGCTTCATCATGAGTTTAAGCTATTATGGTATTCAGAGAAAACTGCACATCTATTCAGTAAACTAAACCAGCACCAGCTATAAGGTAACTTTTCTATTAACAGCTTTGAGAGGGCAGCACTTTAACTAATAGGTCTTAATCTTAGCTCTGCATGTTTATAATCGTTTTTATATAATTAAATGCTGGCTAATTTGAAATCCTGTACCTTGCTTTTGTTGACAACGATGAAAGACTGTGAGTAGCTGATTTCCCAGATGGTTATTGCTATATGTTGTTTTCTGTGCTTGAGGAACATTTCCTGAGTACTTGTTGGATATATGAGTTGTTAACTCTTCTAAAATGTTTGAATGAAACCTGGTACTTTAATCATTGCGGGGTAATGCATTTGATTTGTAATTATCACATTTACACCAAGGAAAGCAGAAAGATTGATTATAAAAATGTGAGATTTTTCTGGGTTTAATTCTGTTTTCTAGATTTTTCCACTGGAGCAGCTCTGGATGAATTTTCTAGAATAATTATTTAAATGCAAGTTTTTTACATTTCATTTTTGTATGTGTATGTGTGTATGTACACACACAGACACACATCCACATACACTCATCCACATGTATGTGCATGTGTATATTAAAACTAAAGGAAATAAGCATTCCCTGTGAAAGGTAAGATGGGGTATTTTTGTTTATTTTGGATCACCTCTAGAAGAGCCTGCTTTCCCTATTCCTGCACAGGGTACATGCCTAGCTTTGGTCTTCCAGCTACACTTCTGTATTCCAGTAACTGACTAATGGATTCATAAAGCCAGGTCAGAATAAGGCACCTGGTAAAACAGAACTGCTTACTGATAGGAGAGAAAAACTCAGGGATCTGGAAGGTTGTCATAGATTTTATAGAGTAGCTTTACAGACTCTCCACATGGCTCCAAGCCAACACTTTAAATCATTTGCCAGATGAATCTGAGTAGATAGAGCATGAGCTCACACTGAATTTTAGTAGGAACCCGGCAAGCATCTTAAATTAGAGATCCAAATAGGAACATTCAAATATGGGAAAACCTCAGCATACAGTGGAAGGGTGTCTTTGCCCTGGGAGAGGAAAAGGAGGCCATGGGGAGAGTAAAGCGAAATGCGGCATGAATAAGTCTTTTCCCACCCTGGGGCTGGCAGCCTTGCCAGTCTGCATCGGGCCTTCGGAGGGCCAAGCAGCATTACCAGCAAGGAGCAGATAATTAGACTTCATATAGACTCTTAAACTGGCTTACTCTACACTAGCCATTCTTTTGGATGAAGATACAGAGTCTCCATAGGTTTGAACAAGGGTCTTAATTTACAGCCGTATCTTTAGCCATATTTATTGCAGCATCAATAAAATTCCTTAGTCACATGTTTCAATTAACTTGGATTAAATTCAAGGTGTAAAGGTAGAAATAGCTCGTATTTGTATTTTGCAAAGTAATTGGTTAGGTTTTGAATCAGATTCCACTGACTTCTGTTCTAGAGGATGAAATTCCCAAACATTGTGGATAAAATAAATACTGAGGGAAAATCATTTTTAAAACACTCCAGAACTAACATAGCCCCCTTCAAGGGAATGTAATGTGGTCCCCTCCAAATTTGGTCACCCTGGAAGACCTGTGCTTCACTGTGCTGACATTTGCCCAAAACATTTTTAGGATTCCTCTATGGAATCTGTGTCTCGTTTTTGAAACTCCACAATTGCATCAAATATTTGTATCCTGAGGGATAGATGTTTTGGGAAACATAAAAGTGGTTGGATACCAAATGTCATGCTGGATTAATCCATTTTGGTTCACAAACAACATGCAACAGTAATAACAGTTTTCTTGTGTGGCTCATACCAACTGTCTCTGAGGGCAGTTCTTGGAGAGCCCTAAGTGTTCTGAGCAGTGACAATCCTCAGGGCCCCAGGCATGGAATACTGGAGTTAGTAGGAGACGGGACTTAGGTTCTTGGTGCTGGTTTTCTGCCGATTCTGTGGCCTTGGTGTTGTCCCCTAGGTCTTGAGTATGTAAGTGCTAGCCTGTGTGCATTGTATTTTAGTTAAACTCCATACTCCTTAGAGAACTAAATATAGTTTGTTGCCTCACATGTCTGCGTTAGTTTATACCAGGGATCTGTTTATGGAGTTGCCACTGAGCTAAGAAGAAAATGTTGCCAAGAAAGAGAGAAATCATTTCTGGATCTACTATTCAGCTTCTACTAAATTTTCAATAAAGGGTTGATTCCTGTCCCAAGTGAGATCTGAGGCCTGAAGGCCACATAGCCTAATGGGTAATGATTCCTAGGCAAGGCTCCCAAATGTATCATGCTTGAAACATAACAGGTGTTGCCTTTCTCTCTTGCAGGCATCCAGGCTGGAGAAGCAGAACAGCACACCTGAAAGTGACTACGACAACACCCCCAATGACACGGACCCAGACGACACAGGGTACAGCTGCAGGAGTACTGCCCTGGGGTGGGCTCTCGAACCTGAGACCTAGCAGCCGTGCTCAGGAGACGCACTTTATCCCCCACATGCCTGCTCTGTATTTTCAGACCCATGAGGTCATAAAACATGGAGGCATAAGTTCATACTTCAACCTCTTATCCTGTTATTACCCCAGGGGCCTGGTTTTCTTTTACCAGCATATTATACACGTCTCTGAGGCTGTAATGTGCTTAAAATCAGTATTCTTAAGTCAACATGAGGTCACATTCTACGTCGTAGCCCAAGGGATGAGCTGGCTTCAGGATGGCTCTGTAACAGCACATCCTTGCTGTTCCACTTGTTTCCTCCCTTTCCCCATCTTTACCCTTTCTCTGAGAGTCATAATTTCCAGCCCCGTGGTAGCATGAAGCAGCTGCCATGTAAGCTGCGGCTGCCTGTTGAGGAAGCAGCCTCACCGTGAGTCTCCTCCCCGACAGGATATAGGAAACCACACAAGCAGCCAGCTCATGCATTCAGCAGGTGCACATGCACTGGCTCCTAGAAGCAGAGAGGCAGCTGAGAAGCACCTGTCACATGTAGCCACTTTCTGATGGTCACAGGTCAGGCAGAAAGGGAAGGCAGAGGAGTTTGGTGTGGCAAGGCGACGGCTCAGTACCAGATACAGCAGAACCCCACACAGCCCCAAGCCCCGTCCTCCCCAGCACGGAAGACGTCATCCGGAAAACTGAACAGATCACCAAAAACATACAGGAGCTCTTGAGAGCAGCTCAAGAAAATAAACATGACAGGTAAGGGGGTTTGGAAATCCTACCTGGAAGAGTGCACATGCTCTGAAAGAGATGCTGCTCCATTACCAACAAGGATGGGTTGGATTTATTTCAGCATGTTGTTATTTTTAAGGTTTTTTGAAAAGTTCAGTTTGTGTAACAGGCCTAAGAACAAATTTGTAAATTTCAGTGGGGTTTTTTTGGTTTTTACTTGGTATTTTCCATTTTCCATGTTCTTTTGAAAAGTGCATTGGAAACATGCCTCTAGAAGTAGAATTGCAGCCTAGTTAGGGTTAGTCCTATTCCTGGTGCTGGATATCGAGAGGAAAGAAAGAAGCTTCCTTAGAGCTTACGGTTGATTCTTCCAACCCCTGTGCTCCCTGTGGTCTCTCTAGCTAGAGCAGAGTTGTCTGATTTAAAAGGTATCCTGACACGAATTTGATTTCTTAGGTCTCCTTTTTGTGCGCGTATGTGTGTGCATGTGTGCAAGCATGTGTGAACATCTAGGAAACAAAGTGGTTTACAGATAAAGGTGAATCTAATTGACACCCAAATAATACTATGCTCCTGAAGGAAGAGGCATCTTACTCTGAGCAGAACCACATCCTGCAGTTTTGTTTTGTTTTATTTTAAGAATTTGTTTATTTGTTTGTTTGTTTATATTTGTCAGAGCCAGAGAGCAGGAGTGGGGTGGGAGGAGAGGCAGGTAGAGGGAGAAGCAGGCTCCCTGCTGAGCAAGGATCCGATAAGGGGCTCGATCCCAGCACCGGGGGATCATGCCCTGAGCCAAAGGCAGGCGCTTAACCGACTGAGCCCCCCGGGCGGCCCCTGCAGAGTTATTTCTTATGGTGAAGAAGGGACTGGCTCTTGTTCAAGCTCAACCTTTTGTTCGCTGAGCATGAATTCTGAGAACTTCTGATGAGTCGTTCACTGTTCTGGGTGACGTCCTAGTTTCACGTGGCCAGCCGTGTCAAGAGACACTTATGAAACATGTAACATCCTCCCATTGAGTTTATGAAAGCAACAGAGGTCAGGCACAAGCCTTCACTAATCTCACTGTCTTCTGTAGTCGCTAGAGTGTAAGTTGTTCAAGGAACACTGTGCTCCACCTCCTTGGCCTCCTTGTTCTCTCACTCCACATAAAGATGCATCAGTATCTTTTGTCTTCTCTGTGATCCCAGCACTGCCAGACTAGACTCCCCTCCTCTCCCCTTTCCCTTTTTCCACACCTCTGACTTCCCCCGGGGTCACTTCTTCCACTCAACAGGAGAGGAGTGGACAGTGTTTAGTGAAGGATGAGAGTTGGTCTTCTGGGTGGACTGCTGGAGGTTCCTCGGAGGAAAAGAGGAAGGCTGTTGCTCAGCCTCCTTCCATGAGAATTACATGGCTCTTCATCACCCCCTTCCCAGGCAAGCCTCCCTGTCACACACCCCCATGCCTCACGAGCTCCCTGGGTAAACGTGTCACAGCGCACCGAAAGGCAGTCTTTAACTGACTCCCAATACCGAGATGGCCTCCCTCCTCAGGGCGTTCCCACCAGTCGACAACAGTCTTCGCTTTTCATTTACTCTAGTTCAGAAGTGCCACGCTGTATTTCAAACAAACCAAAAAATATGTTTACATTGCATTGTTCTCTTCAGTAGTTGTCAGAAATATCTGCCCAGAAGACATTTTTGGCCTCAGAGACCACAATAAGGTACTTGTTTTTCTTTTTTTTTTTTTTAAGATGTACAAACCCATTCAAAAACCTCATGATCTGATTTTTTTAAGAGCATGAGAGAATGATGCAGAGTTTAGTCATTAGTTCACTCTTCTAGTTTAAATCATAATTGATCTAGAGATTGGTATTTTATGACTTAGTCAATGTTCTAAGATCTCTGGTTACTGACATATACAAGACACTTCCTTTATAATTTTGCGTTGTACTGATTAAACCCATGCCTTCTCCTCTTGGTTTCTCCTCTTGTTCATCTGTTGCTTATGCTCATCCCAAGTAGACCAGCAGCCTACACAGATACCTTCAGGCTTCGCCCTGGTCCCTTGAGCCTGGCAAGCTGCCCACAGCTCCTGACCTGGCCTCAGCCTGGTCCCTCCCCTGGGCCTCCACCCCCCACTCCCTGCCTGTCTCTGTCTGTCTCTCTTACATGCACACATGCGTGCACAAAGACACAACTCAGGAGTACTACATATTATGCACAAAACCCTTTTTTTGAGGAAGGATAACACCTTGAAGTTGTGAACATGAACTCCCCCGAGTGAGGAGGATGACGACTTTCTCATTTATCTGCATGTGCTTTCTTTTGTGGCTCATTGAGGACTTCCTAAAATATTTCGTACTGAGAGAGTTTTGGGGAGGTGTCCATAAGAAAATTGTCTTCCATGTAGCAGAGGGAAGACTGAATTATATATCTGGGTCAAAATGAAAACTCTAAGCAAAAATCTTTCAGGTATGAGTCTCTGTTAACGTGTTATTAATGAACATACTAGTTCAAGTAAGATTTGTGGCTGAAACAGTGGTTGCCATAGACACAGCCTTTTTCCCTGAGTGTTTGTGTGTCCAGATGGGTTGTCACCCCTTCATTTACAAGGGAAAGGACTCCCTCTGCCTTGGCTTTTTTGTTACTCTACGGAGTATGGTTCTAACTGCTCACAAAGGTAAAAGTCAGGATTGCTCATTTGAAGGTATTTCAAGATAATATAAACCACTCTCTTGAAATGTAATGATTTAGTTAAAATGTAGCCAGTCTTAATTAAAATAGTTTTGAGACTAGATTTCTCACAAAGATGAAATACAGAGGCTGCTTATTAGACAGTGTTTAAGCAGAAGCCAACTTTATGACTTAAAAAATGGGGAAGGAATTTACTTGAGGGCTTTAAGTGCTAAGCTGGTTGCTGAATGAGATTTCATTCCCTGTCTTGGAAAGGAAATTTTAAAACAGCCCCATGGGCGCTTGTGGAAGGCCACACCTACTTATTCACACCATATTTCCTAACAGGCTGCAAACAGGCTGCTAGTGAGCTTTTCTCGTATCCCATTCCCCCCCACACCCCGGGCTCTATGGGTCAGTTGTTCTGAAACCAGAGCCCTGGCCAGTGGTAGCATGCTGGCTAAGAGCTGCTGCTCTGTCCATCTTCATCATGTCTTTGTCTCTGGACCTCGTAACACATACTATGGGTTGGAGCCTAATATTTTGAAGGTGCAGGAGACCAGCCCCATATGCTGCACATCCCAGTGCCAAGAATAAGAAGCCGAGTGAAGCCCAAGTCTTCATCCCTGCAGTTCTCCTCGTCTAAGAAGTTAGAGTCACCAGTCATGAATGAAAAGTGGCCTGCTCTAAAGAAAGGCATGAATCTGTTGTGTCTCTGATAGCAGGAGAGGCCTGTGGCGTGTGGTAAGGGGCCGGGGCTCAGGTGTTGGACAGTCGGGTTTGTGCTCGGCTCTCCTCTCACCGACTGTGGGACCTTGGACACATTCTCTGCTTCTCCAGGCCTCAGTTTCCTCTTTTGAAAAATGGGAACAGAGCTGGCATTCTGTCAGTGCTCCCGAACCCTCAGCTCTTAGCTCTCATCCAGGGGGCCCTTAGGATGCCAGTGGCCGGAGGAAAGGATGAGGACAGGCGGAGTCCATGCACTTTGTCTTCTTAGAGCTTGTCAAGTGGGCAGAGAAAGTGCTGGCTGTACTCCTAGCCCATTATTACAAGCAAAGTCATGGCAGCTTCATTAGAAAGTGGGTGAGTGATCCAATAAAAGAGCGGACCTCAGTGTTTCCTCTTTACCCAAAGTAAAGCTTTTGATTCCCCAACAGTTGAGATGTGTCTATCAGTTTTAACCAACGTGTGGATGTTGAGGTGTAAGCGCCACTTTGAATTTTAAGGACTTTTTTCAGTCCTTTATTTTTAAGTTCTGTGACCTCGGTGTGGAAGTCCTCTCTCTCTCAAGAACTGAGAAAGGTGAAGCATACAAGAACCTAATGACCCACCGGAAGTGGTGGAACTGCCGTCACAGACTGGCTGGCTGGCTGTGGCTTCCCCGGCTAGTTCTGTGTGTTGCCTACATTCCATACCTGGAGACTGTAGCAGATTGAATGAACTTTCAGGAAAGGTTGGGGACCCTGCTCCTATTGGCATGGCATCCACGGGGAGCTGGCGGCAGCCTCAGCCCCTTCTCTGGGGGAATATAAATGGAGCGCATTCTGGCCCATGAGTTCTCTCCATCTCTGCAGTACTTCATGCTTCTGCTGTCTTTAAATAACCTCTTCGATGTTCTTGCAGCTATATCCCCTGCTCAGAGAGGATACACGTGGCCGTTACTGAAATGGCAGCATTATTCCCCAAAGTAAGTCACTTCCTTACTTGGTTCAGACCCTTTTAAATGAACTGAAAGAAATTGGTTCAGGATCCTTGATACTATATTAACCTTTATTTAGCAGAAGTTTTTAAATATGCAAATAGTCATAGGGACCTGGAAATCATTTTGTCCTATATGCATACCAGTGGGCTTTTTTTGTTTTGTTTTGTAAAGATTTATATATTTATTTGAGAGAGAGAGTGCACATAAGCATGTGCGTGAGAGTCGGGAAGGAGGGGCAGAGGGAGAGAATCTCAAGCAGACTCCCCACTGAGTTAGGAGCCTGACTCAGGGCTCGATCCCAGGACCCATCAGATCATGACCTGAGCTGAAACCAAAAGTCAGATGCTTAACCAACTGAGCTACCTGGGCACCCCTATGAACATTGGTTTTAATAAGGCAAGAATGTGTGAGCCCCGTGCTGAAAGGCAAAGCAGTAATAGATTAGAATTGTATCTGGAATATCTCACCCGAGCGGGTTACTGTTTTTGAAAAACCAGCTCAGACTAGGGTGTCCTAAAACAGCACTGCGTACACTTTGACATTTGAGTCGGAGCACTTGGGCGTCTCGCACACTGTGGGCTGCCCAGCCTGCCGTGTCCTGAGCACCCCCTCTGAGAAAGGGCACGACGAAACTGCATGCCCTGTGGAACAGCTTGAGCTGTCCTCACAGGAACGCTTGTCCCTGCGCTTGGGTGTCCACCATGCAGCTCACACAGGCGACTGTGTTCTTCCGTTCAGAAACCCAAGTCTGACACGGTGAGGACTTCCCTGCGCTTGCTGACATCCAGTGCCTACCGACTCCAGTCCGAGTGCAAGAAGACCCTCCCTGGGGAGCCCAGCCCGCCCACAGACATCCAGCTGGTCACGCAGCAGGTCATCCAGTGCGCCTATGACATCGCCAAGGCCGCCAAGCAGCTGGTCACCATCACCACCAAAGAGAACAACAACTGAACAGCTCAGTGCCGGCCCTTACATTTTCTTGGCTTTTTAAGGTCCACTTTCAAATTGAGACGTGGAATTCTGCCAGTTTTTACAGAAACAAACATTTAATGAAAGTTTAAAACTTTTTTTTAAAAAACTCAGTATTATTTTTGCATGTTTTCTAACAAATTTTCGACTATTAATTTAACCCACTTGCCTTATTTTGTGCCTGTTTGCCAGTTTCCTCGCTGATGTTCTGTCGTGCTGTCAGTGACTGTTGTTGAGTTGATGGTCATAGTCCTCCAAATGCATAGTTTCATTGTTTCAGGTTTGTTAGACCTTTTCCATCCCTTTGAAAACTGCCTGTTTAGGGTTAATATTATAAATGAGATTTTTAGTGAAACATTATCTGCAAAGAGTTGGGTTAAAAAAAAAAAATCCACCTCATCTGTTCCCGAGCAAGCATTGTGCAATAAGTGAACTTTCTAGCCCTAGTGCAAGAATCTCTTAAGTTTAGGGGGGGTCTACAAACACGGATATAGGGAAAGGACTTTGCTCCTCTCTAAAAGTAGTGTGACAGTCTCTCTTGGAAGGAAACAATGAACTGCTCCATTGCTTTTAACTGTTTTATCTTGTTAGATGTTCTTTTATTTGATGTTTCTATCTGGATCCTCCGTCTCTTTTACCGTCATCCTGAGGTCTCCGTGGTGCCACGTGAGCAGTCATCCCCCACGTCCCATGTCATTTGGCTTTGTCCAGGTAGGAGCGCGGCCACGTTATCACACATGGCTCAGTGCTCTGCCTTCCCACAGGAAACCAGATGTGTCATTCCAAACATGTGGCAAACGTGCTGTGTCCCACAAGCCATGACTAATTCTGTGCCACCCCATTCAGATATCACTGCCATAAATTGTGGGAAGAGAAATGACCTACTCCCTGGTAATGTATCTCTCTCCCAGAACTCAGTTCCTCTAACCACTTAAAGTTTCCTCCCACGGCCTGTTTGGCACATCTCATCACCTTTAAGGACTTCTTATAAGGTAAGGTTTATACAATCTGATTTTGTTTCTCCTCCATTACCTCGCTGGTACTTAAAAATTAGACCTCCTCTTTCATAAATTCCTCAGAGAGTGTGCTCTAGCTGACTGCCAGCTATCCTGAAGCTACAAAAGCACAGGTTTAGGTTCTAGAACATACTGACGTTGGTTTTTAAACTGCTAAGACAACCTTTCTTGCTCTGAATGCTAAAGCATGTCCCTGTCCCTGATTCTTGTGGTGTTTTAGTGGATGGGAGGGGCCAGGCTGCATTGATGGAGATGAATGGAGTGGGCAGGTACAGAGCAGGGCCGCAGGACCGTGGGGGAGCAGTGGCACACCCAGGAGGGACAGCAGCTCCCCAGCTCCACTTGGGCCACCTTGTGGAAAAGTGGGCCCGGGGTTGACAGAGCTTTGGTTTTTTTAAGAGACACTAGAAATATGGATATTTTTTTGCCATTTCTCTATTTATAAATGTTGGCGACGAAACATTCTCACAGCACACAGCGGGGGTGAGCTGTGGTCTCTAGGCGGCCAGCTCACAGATTCTGCCGAGGGGTCCTGTCCGCTGCAGTGGGGAGGCCACGCTTGGTTTACTTCCAAGCCTTACGTGTCCCCTGGCCGCCCCTACCCTGTGTCAAGTTGCTGTTAGTCCTCATCTTACCCATACAGTCTGTCCCATAGTGCTTCATTCATACACATGAAGAAGAGTAATCACAGTTGCCTCAGTACGTGCTAAATAAGCCTGTTTTGTCACAGAACTGTTTGATCCACAAATATCTTCATAGCTTGACCGGATGCTGTTGTGAAGGAAGCACCATGATGGTGTTGGTTTACTAAGTCCTGGGGTGTGGATGCTTTTGCCAGATTTTGCTGCACTGAGTAGCCTGGGGAAAGGTCCACATCTCCAAAAGACTCATCCACTTGTCTGCACAATCCTAAGTGCCATGTTCCTGTCAGATGCTGAGGGGACACCTACCTTAAATTAAGTTCTAGCACCATCTGACAACATTGTCTGCGTGCTGCACATACTTCGCTGTCCCTCTTCCTCTTTCTGACAAACACCTGCCCTCGCATTGGGCCCGTGCAGAGGCCTCAGGAAGGGCCGTCTAGAGTCGGTGCCTCAGCCTCCCAGGGAGGACAGGCTTCTAAATAATGAGTCGTCTGGGTGAGGGAGGTGCAGCAGCATCTTTACTGCAACACTCGACAAGTGATGAAAGACCTTGTCTCTGTGCCCCTAGAGAAGGTCAACAAGTGCAGGGACCAGAGAGCGTTTCCAATCACAAGAGCACCACAGACGTTTGCTCTGGGAACCCAGTGCCAGGACTCCAGAAAGAAGTTCTGGGTGGAGTGAGATGCCTCCTTTGCTACCCTGCACATTTCCTCAGCCTCTTCTGCGACACAGTCCCGCTGGCAAACCGCACCTTGTCCGGACGGCCATTCACCACCTTTTGCACATGCGTTCCATGCCTTGCACTAACGCCTGCGTTCTCTAAAGTCCTTTTTTTTACTCTTCGTTCTCAAATCGCCCCCCGCCCCCGGGCCACAAGCTGATAGGATGGAAGTGCACTTTATGAAACGGACACTTGCCGACCGAGACAGCTCCGCCCTGAAGTCCTCCTCTGCCTCGGAACGCAAATAGTTCTTATTTGCCAAAGAACAGGGAATCGGGCCCAAAGAGCAAATACAGCATTTCGCACAATTGGAACCACAGACGCACACCTCGGGAGTGACTGAAGCTGCAGAACCAAGAGCAAGACGAGCATGTGTCTGTCCACAGCGGCTGTGAGCTCTCCAATTCTAGAATGTTCCTTCTCTCCCTGTCCCCTGTGAAAGGCACCCTTGTTTTTATGAAAGAAAATGCTGCATAGGAAAAACGAAATGCCTTTCGTTCAAATGTGTTCTATCCGTGTGACCCATTATTCTGTACCTTTCATGTTTATTGTACATTCTATTCCTATAATTATTGTACAACCCTGTAAGCATTGTAAAATCGTTCTGAAATTTGTGCCTGCTAGTTATGCAATAAACAGGCTCTGTAGTATCTTTGTGGTAATGCTGTGTTTCCTGGCTGTTAGGTGATGTTTCCAGATTCTCCGCCAAAGTTTCAAGAACGCTCTCCTCCTGTAAGGTCATCTTTGATGAGACAGTAGTGAATATGTCTGCACCCTGGCGGCTCTTGCCAATTTACAGGAGTGAAGACCTTTTTCCCCCTCCTGCTTATTAGCAAGTAGCTCTTGTAAAAGAAATTACACATCACTGCGCTCCGTTGATCTTATCATGATGTGTTCATTCCTGAACTTTTATTTTTCAAGTTCAGCGACAGCCAGCCAGGCACGGTGCTCCCACCTCCTCCTCTACCAGGTGAGGGGTCTGTAGGGTTACTTTGGTCTCTTAAGGCCACCAGTCTTCTAACTCTCAGAGCAAGGCCCATGGCACAGGTTCCCACAGGGATGGTGGGGTATATCTGGGTTCATCGGGGCCACCCTCAGTCCCCAACAGTTGTCCTCTAGAGCAGTGACTTGGGGCTCTTCTCTCAAACAGAAGGAGGAGGGCCTGGCCATCGTGCATGCCTTTCCAAGCAACAAGGCTGGGGGAGATGCAGCATCCTTCCTATGGGAGCCAGCTTGTCTGAGGCCCCACACACATCAGCTCACACCCGGAGGTTCCTCCTAGGCCGGGATTCTCATGGGCACCCACATCACAGCCCCAGCAGGGCTCACTGGAACACAGCCAGGATCCCGGAGTCCCTGGCCCGCAGTATGCTATAGACCACTGCACCCTACCATGCACCTCCTGGCCATCTGCTTTTCATAATTACAACTGGCTTGTATCAGCTGTTGACTGTGCTAGGTGCTGTGCTGGGGTCCGGACGGGTATTGACTCCTGTAATCCTCACCATGTCCCTATGCAGCAGGTGGGAATGAGGACGGTTACTCCCCAAGCAGTTACGCTGAGGATGGGCCTGTGAGTTGTCAGTAGTCCACTTCGTCTTTCTCTTAAACGACCCAGTTGGGGGGCGCCTAGGTGGCTCAGTGGGTTAAAGTCTCTGTCTTCAGCTCAGGTCATGATCCCAGGGTCCTGGGATTGAGCCCCACATCAGGCTCTCTGCTCAGCGGGGAGCCTGCTTCCCCCTCTCTCTGCCTGACTCTCTGCCTACTTGTGATCTCTGTCAAATAAATCAATAAAATCTTAAAAAAAAAAAAAAAAAAACCCACCCCCCGCCACACACACACAAAATGACCCAGTTGGTTTTTCCTGCCCCTGACACTCCAGAACTGCGGAGTCTCGTGGCCTCATTGGAGGTGAAACCGGAGGGGTGCCACGTTTCCCCAGGGTCTATTTCAGGCATCAGAGGGGGTCCTGTGCATGACATGAGACTGTGAATAAATGCAGCACAGTCAGCTTGTGACTCTTAAGATGGGCCCCCCAAGCAGGGCTGTCTCACCCTTGAGCCCTTGGGGGCTGGGACCCCACCAGCGTTTGCCAAATGACCCCTGGAAGGACAGTCTGCTGGCTCTCAAGGACCACGAGCAGTGCTTTCTCACCCATGGGGCTGTGCAGGGGCAGCTTCAACACAGGGACAGCTCAGCAACAACTGAGGCTGACCCGCTGCCCAGCAGGGTGGCGTGCAAGAAGTGTCGAGGAGCCGGGCCCTGTGGCCCACAGACGCCAGGCAGAAGACACTGTGGTCTGTGCCTCGGCCAGCCAGCCACCCCACCAAAAACCAGGGCCATGTGAGGTGGGACAGACTCCCCCACAGCTTTACCAGGTCATGGTCAGCTCAACATAGAGCAGGTCCCCCGGGGTGGGGTGGGGGCTGCTGCCGGGAGGAGGGACAGGAAGAGGCGTGTGCAAACCTCACTCCTTCCCACCTCACCTCCATCTTCCCTCCTGCCCAGGCTCTTGCCACACAGCTTCCTGACTACACACCTTCCCAGACCCAAGAGATGGGAACTTCTCTGCCCCATTTCCCCCAAATGCAACTTATCTCCAAGGACCTGCCTCTCCTCCAAAATCCCTCTTCTCACCCCTTCCAGCACCTCTCCTCTTTCCCTTCTCTTCCCTCTCAAGCACCCCATTCCCCACTCTTGTAACAGGGACCCCTGTGTCCTGCCCTCCCCATGGCCAGCTCTGCACCCATCCCCCTCGGAACTCCACCCCTAGCCATGGCCCTTCGCTGGGGCTGAGTCCTGCAAGCCCCATCTGGCTTATGGGCCTGGAACACTTTACAAACAGGGAAGATTTGAAGTCTAACTTGAACCCCCACTCTGACCCTGGATCTAAGGTTGGCCTGAGTCTCCCCTTGCTTCACACTTAACTATGGGCTTCCCTCTTCCAGCCCTCCTCTTCCCAGGCCCTGGCCCTTTCCACACTTCCCCACTGCACCCCAGCTATTCCTTTCTGAATGAGGGCTGAGTGAATGCCAGCACGTACTGTGCACAGCCACCGCGCTCTATAACATTTCATAAAGTAGGGACTGAAACTACCCCTGTTTTGCAGATGAGGACACTGAGGCTCAGACCTCAAAGCACAGTTGGTGGTAGGGCAGGAAGTTAGAGGACAGGGCCTGTGCTCTTCATCACGGGGCTCTGCTTGCACAGTGGACCATCAAGGAAGGTGGCTGGAGGGACGGGCAGGTGACAGAGCTTCTGGAAGCAGAGGAGAATGAAGGCCAGCTGTGACTTTGACAGAGGTAAGGTGGGAGGGAGACATGCAGCAGGCTTAGTGGCCCTGCAGTCTAACCTTCCTCCTGCCTGGGAGTGGCGGAGCAGGAAGGCCCATGCCCATGTCTGTGTGGTCCCCTGCCCACCCTAGTCAGGCTTAGAGGGACAGGATCCGGGTGGCCACATGTGTGTTTCGTCTTTCCCCCTCCTTACATTTGCCACAAATATTTCCAGTCTTTTCGTGCTGTTTGAAATTGAAACTCTCGATAACTACTGCTCAAGTAATAAGACTGATCTGTGAGTGGAGGATGTTGCCCATTTCACCAGTTTCCATGATTCAGGGACCTCATAGATTCCGCGGTGACACACACCCCGTCAGCCCTTCTGGGAGCAGCAGCCCTGGACCTGCTGCTAGAAGCAGGAGGGCTCCAGGGCCCAGCACAGCGTGGACAGGGGGTTCACCCGTTCCAAGTAGCGGGAGAGAGCTCCCCACGGAGGCTAGAAGCCGGAATCTGACCTGCCTCTGCCAATTAAATCAAGATGAAATCCTACCCAAATCCAGACACAGGGACCAGGGTGTGCAGGCAGGTTGTTTCCTAGGGACAGGGAGGCCTCCTCTTGGCAGGAAAACAGGTCCATTTGGGATCTGCGCTTTTTGTTATTTACTTTTAGCACATCCACACGTCACCCTTCACATTTCACAGACGAACAGGGCCCAGAGAGGGGTCCCCTGGCCTCTACATGGTGGAGGTGGAGCGTCAGAGAACCCAAGCGCTTGGGCCACACCCTCCACCCCTCACTCCAGCACTTCTGTTTGCTACCACCTCACACGGGAGCTCTAAATTCAGAAATACGTCTGCCGCATCCACGTAGAATTCTAAAGTGACCACCTGCGTAGCCGCAACCCAGGTAAGAAAGAGAACATTGCCTTTCCCCCAGGAGCCCCCATGGGCCCCTTCTTCCCCTGGACTTCAGTGCTCACTGCTCCTAGCTTTTGGTTCCATGCCCTGTGTGTGTTCCCAGACCTAAGTAAGAGCGGTGTTTTGTCTGGTTTTGAACATGTAAATGAACCCTACTGGTGTATTCTCTTCTTTCCCTCAATCTTGTGAGTCAGCAGATTTTCCATGTTGTGTAGCATTCATGCATTGTATACACATGATCTATTAATGTAGTATTTTAGTGATAGAAGTTTCAGTTATTTCTAGTTCTTGGCTCTTAAAAAACTCTGAAAGGTATGTCTTTTGGTACATGTAGGACTATACTTCTGTGGGAGATATATATGGACCTGGATGGTAGAGAACGTACATCTCCAGATGTGTAATGCTGTTTTTATCCCTTTTTCCAAAGTGTTGTACCAGCAGAATGTGAGACTTCTCTGCATCTTCATGAACACTGATACAAAAGCTGCGTCAATTTTGTCAATCCAGAGGCACCCGGCTGGCTCAGTCGGTAGAGCGTGCGACTCTTGATCTCAGGGTTGTGAGTTCAAGCTCCACATTGAGCGTAGAGATGACTTTAAAATAAATCTTTAAAAAAATTTTTGTCAATCCACAGGGTTTATGGTAGTGTCTCAGTTTCAATATGCATTCTTAGACAATATTGCTGTGTGCTTTTACGGGTTTATTAGCCATTTAGATTTCCTCTTTTGTGAAATGCCTGTTTGAGTGTTTACCCATTTTTCCATTAGGTTCTATTTTTCATTATTCTTAATAGGAGTTTTAAAAATGTTTTGAACACTAGTCCTTTGTTTTTGTGTTACAAACATCCTTTAACATTCTGTGGCACATCTTTTCCTTCTTAGGTGTCTTTCGAAATAATGTGTTTGGCTTTTTTTTTTTTTTTTTAGATTTATTTATTTTTAGAGAGAGCCTGTGAGTGAGGGAGGAGGGGCTAAGGGGGAGGGAGAGGAAGAGAGGGAAAAATCCCAAGCAGAGTCTGCACTGAGTAGAGCCTGATTTGGGGCTTAATCTCACGATCTAAGAGATCACAACCTGAGCCAGAACTAAGAGTTGGATGCTCAACTGACTGAACCACCTAGGCACCCCTGAAATAAGCATTTTATTAAATGTAGTCAAATTTATCGATCTTTTCCTTATGGTTTGTGTTCCTTGTGTCTTAAGAAACCTCCCCTCCACTAGAGCATTATGTTTTATTTTGAAATAATCATAGATTCACAGAACAGTTGCAAAAATTGTAGTGGTCCCCTGTGCCCTTTGCTCAGTTTCCCCCAATGATAACTTCTAACAAACTGCAGTACAGTATCAAGATCAGGATGTGGATATCGGCACAATCACAGACCTTGTTCAGATGTCCTGACTTTATATGCGTGTGTGTGTGTGGTTCTATGCCGTCATATCCACATGTCAGTTCCTGTTGC